ACGAACACAACTACGAACCGAGATGCGCACCGGACACGAACCGGATACGAACCCGGACACGAACCAGTCGCGAACAACGCGAACCCGGACACTAATCCAAACACGAACGCAGACACGAACAGATACAAACCCGGACACGAACCGCACCGGAACCGGACACGAACCCTGACATACGACTGATACGTCGTGAATTCATTCAACAAATACAGCACTGTATAACCTGTAGAAGTTTATTGCTGCGGGAGTGCCACCCTATTGGAAGTTTCTAATTTCCTAAAGCAACTAGGCGGTAGAACAATCTTATATCACCCGGCGGGAATATGCATCACCCCATGTAGACGCTCCGTCAGACGAATATATATATATATATATCAACAGCGGAATTATGCATCAGTGAATACGAACCCCGATATAGACGCCGTGTGCAGCAGCAGCAGCAGTGAAGAACGTGTAGAATCCTCGCATATATGGCCGACGTCAGGTCTTGAGCACAAATATAACTCGTTTTCATCCATATGCACTACCGTTCCCCATATGGACGCTCGGAATCGCAAGCACCCGCTCAAGAAACACTTCAGTGGCCCCAAGACGGTCGATCTCGCAGCTCCTGATGAAGGAAGCTGGAACTGAAACTCCTGGCCGCCTTCGCGACAATGCTTAGAAGCCGCCAATTAGACGCTAGTCAAACAGCTAGCTTATCAGATGCTTTAAAATCTCTTCTTGAGCTTGAATCCTAGCTTCCGCAAGGAGACGCTACGCGATGCATGATAAATCCAGCCTTGTGCCAAACTCTTCGGGCCTTTAGTACCGAGAGAGACCCAAATTTCCATGATATTAGTCATGCGAGACAAACATGCAAGAGCCTTTCACGAAGAATCGCGGCAAAGGACCAAATTCTAAGCCTGGCAGGAGTGCGCACAGAATCACGGACGCAACCAATACGACCCCGTTTTATAAGAGAATATTTATATTGATATATACATACATAACTATATATAAGATTTGATTCATGTACAAATTCAGTATATATGTATATACAAAGAATATTGATATGCCGTATAGGCTGTTCATACATTTCACTTTTCATACAAAATATGAAATACATATTCTACATTCAAATGTTAATTATGACAAATTACACACGTTTTTTCGAAACTTCAATATAAGAACAAATACAAAACTATACATCCTTGAAATTTGACATACTCAGAAAGAAAATTAAAAACTAAACCAATGTCTGAATAAGAACAACCTTGAAATTAACACGAGCGACTTTGCACGCAACAGCGGTTTTTCTGCAGAATAATAAACCGATGCAAGTGAAGAAAAGTACATGTAAATATATATAAAGAATATAAGTAGAACTTATGTATAGTTTCTTAATAGTATATAGATATTTATTTGATGTCTTCTAGTATTACCCTATTGAGAAGAGCCGCATAATCATCCACGTTCTTTCAACCTCCCCACGGCCCATTCGAATTGGTCTGCGCCCAAGGGGGGCGCAACAAGGTTTTCGGGATCTTGGTTGCAGGGCGTGGGCTATCTGGGGTTTCTTGGATTCTTCAAAGAGATGCAGGATCAAGGATCAAAATTGAAATCAAGAGAGACAAAGAAACCCACCACTGCACATAAGTTGAGATAACACCTTGAATCCTATACCCAAAACCCCTCTGCTCTTGAACCCTAGACCCGCAGCACCCGGTAACCCCGGAAAGGGGTTCACAGCGCTGCGCTTGGCGTTGGGCCGCCGTTGTCTGCACGCAGGGCAGCTTCCACCTGAAACTACCACATGGGGCCTTGATTTGGCCGTGATACTGGAAGAAGGTTCTAGTAACTCTATCTATACAAGGACTATAATACCTAGAGGGCTGGCTAGCCGCCACTAATAGCCCAAGACTCGGACCCAAATCTCACATAAGAGTTTTGCGCCGCCAAAGGCCTTCCAGGGAGCAGATACCACTGGGGAAGTTTTCGAATCTTTCAGTTCCAGACAGCCGAACACAATGAAGCAACCGAGCAAAACGGGAAAGGCCGAAGTGCATCCTGATCCAACCACGTCTTTGAAGCAAACAACGCTGCAGCTTTGGAGGGAGTGAAACTTTTAGGCTTTGGTCCCTTGCCTTGGGCCTTCATTAGTCAGCTAGAGCCGCCCGGAACACAAGTCATGCAATTCCATTTCACACATGCCAGGGCCCTGGCAGATTTCCAATGGGACGGATGCTGCCTCGGAAGCAAAGGCAAGCCCAAAACCTGCACACCTAAACTGTCATTCGGGGAAACACGGAGCTCAATCGTCGAAGAGCGGCACCCTCGCATTACTGCGCACCAGCTTCGATCAAGACTCCTCCTGCGAAGCAATGACCCCAAACCCCAAACCCTAAAGTCTGAACCGTAATTTTGCAAATATTTGTTTCACTTCGAGGCCGGATCCCTGTAAACGCATTGCACGACGAACCTCTGTCTCAAGTGTTGCCGGTTTAGCGACTAAGCTCTCTTCACAAACACGCATACGTGTGCAGCATGTTCTGCTGACGTTATCCTCGGGTCTAGAACTATTACTCATCCAAGCTTCGAGTGGTTGGAAACATCTCTGCACCCCACCTCTACAGCCCGCAACCTGTACCGAAACCCTGAAGCAGTTCTGAGCTGCCGACAGGTACCACTCAACGGTCCGCTGCAACCCCTCCTGACAGCAGGAAGCCACCTAATGTAACCATTCCAAGTCTATGGGTCCCCAGGTTAGGATATGCTCGACCCCTCAACCCGAAACTGCAGAGCCAACTCCTCTACTGGTTTTGAATGCCTTTAGTGGGCTGCTGCTGCTGCTGCTGAAACCAAACATAACTGCTTGCAATCAAAGCAGCAGCACTCGAAAACCTAATCGCAACAACAACAGTGATAATCAACTAACAACTGCTAGACTAAGTCAGTATGCCGATCATACACATGGAAATGCCGGGTCATGCTGCGCTCGGACCGATTCGAGGCCTCAATAGTCTGACTGGGCTCCAAGGAGCCTTCACAGCAAACTGGACCACGATCTTCCACGACCCTTACGATGTTCGGCTTTAGGGTTTGGGGAAGTTGATTTAGGGTTCGGGTGAGGGAAGCTTGGGGATTGGGGATGTATGGGTTAGGGTTGAAACCCGTCCCTCAAGAAAGCCTCCAGTCCCGAACCCTGGCCGCAGGAAACCTCGAACGTGACGGATGGCGACCATCCCAACTCGGAAATCTTGGCGCTCTCCACCTTTACGGTCTTGCGGATGGATGTGGGACATGTAGCCGCGTTTGTACAAAGGTTCATATGTCTGCATATAGACTACATAATTATATATATATATACACACATAGGGCAGACCAGTAGTTCGGCATGTAAGCCTTAAGACGGGGTGGTGCAAGCGACTGAGACTGTGAGTTCGAGTCGGGCTTCAGAATGTCAGTCCTACCGAATTCAGCCGGCTTGGTTCACAGCCTCAAGCTGGAAAAAACACAAATCAATGTTGGGGCTGTAATGGGTTCGGCGGCTGAGTATCGTATCATATGAAGCTGTGAAGCGCCCACGGTCCCAAAACACTGCACCCTGCAACTGGAAGTTGACAACACCGAGGGTTGGACGTCGTAGGACGCGTCGTTTCTGACTCGATCTGCAACAACCTTCACAGAGACGTGGGCTCTCACATGGTTTTGGATGTAGGGCCTCATGAGCACTTCCGTAAGGTGTTTATATGTACAATTAGATAGAGAGAGAGAGAGAGAGAGAGAGAGAGAGAGAGAGAGAGAGAGAGCGGCGTGAGGAAGTGAGAGAGCGGGAGAAAGTGAGAATGAGAGAGAGTGTGAGAGTGAGCGCCGCGAGGGTGAGCGTGAGAGTGAGCGCGCGAGTGAGAGTGAGCGGGAGTGAAGATACGATGGCTGTTGATAACTACACTGGCACTTTTGCACCGCCCCAAGTCAGGATGCTAAATCGGGATGATTAGGGATGTTCGGGGCTTCCTGTTGAGATCATGCTGGCGGCGTTGCCATCGAGCCGTAGGCACCTTGCCTGACGACCTCTGACATGTAACTCTCTGCTTTATGACTCTCTGCATGAGTTCCGTGAATCCACTGCCGCTTGGGGGCTTGCATTCACTCAGAGCTCACTCAGTATAGCTTTGATCAACACAACACTGTCAAGGACACAAAGCTTCATCTGAAACCCAAAAACCGAAGCAGACCCAATTTCAGCACCTCAAGGTGGCTGTCGGCGCTGTCAGTAGCAATGTCAAAGAAGGGCATCAAAGCTTTGGCAACCTGCTGGGTTAGTTAGGGTTCAAGATTTCCTGCTTCGGGAATTGCGGCTAACTTGACATCAGCTGCTCGACGTGCCCCAGGGCCAAAGCTCCAACAACAACAATTAAGTATGCAGGAGGGTCACATGCCTCTGCGGAGGTCTAGACTCCAAAGTCCTCGACTTTATGCCCTGTTTATGTGACCAAAACATGCAGTCCCGCTTGATGAGCTTAAGACCCGAGGCTTGAAGCAGAAAGCCCTCGCCCACTGAACAGGGCGCAGGCTTTAGGGTTAGGAGGCCCCGACCCGCTTCAGCTTGAAACTAAACGACCCTATGCCTTCAAACTCTTATCTACTCTAAACTCTAAACTCTACACCAGAATCCCGACGCGCTGAGCCTGCCTGGATGACAGTCTTGGTGCTTCCCGGCTCTGCGCCGATGTTGTAAGCCTGACGGCTAGAGGGCTCCGGGGGTTTAGGGCTTTAGGACTTGAGGTCGGGGTCCGGGGCTTCGAATTTAAGGTTGCATGGCAGATGGTGGGTGTGCAGACAGGGGAATGTTTTTCAGAACAGGGTCGGGGTTTAGGGCTGTTGTGTCGGAGTTTAGGGTTTGTGATCTAGGTTTGGCGCTTAGAAATCAGGGTTCCGGGTCTAGAGCTGTGAGTTGCTAGGGTCTGCTTGATCTTTGTGAGCCTTCTGGCTCAGAAGCCGGATGGGCAACCTTCGTGCCTCCGGAATCCCATTGAATGATCCACACGGGAGACAAGGTCGAAGGGCCGCAACTCAAACGCACTCGCCCCTCAAACGATGCCAAGCCCGATAATATGCACGTTTAGGTTTTCAGGTTCAGAGAACCCTAAACTCTAAACCCATGCGCAAGGAAGACTCCGCCCGGACCCCCAATCCTAAATTCGAAGACCTCAAATTAAATCCCCATCGCTTGTTTGAAGCCTGTAGGACCCCTTCAACCCTAAAACCAAATCGTCAAAACTCGCCCAAGCCTCACCAGGGATACCCTTTCTGAGAACAAAGTCGAAGGCCTGGCTGCAAGGAACTCCCAAGATCATACTAGGTGTAGGGTGTAGAAGTTCAGGGTTTAGGGTTTTTGGGGGTTCAGTTAGGATTTAGAGTTTTGGGTTTTGGGGGGTTCTAGGTGCCTTGAATCCTTGAAATATTCATAATACGGTTTGGGCCCCTTGTGTTTTTCTGATGATAGTTAATAAGCTACCCCGACGAATGACATTGGTAATTCTTGGGCTTATGCCGAGGGGTCTAGGGTTTGGGCGCGGGGCCGAGGTTTGAAGCTTAAGGTTTCGGTTCATTTTAGGGTCAAGGCCTAGAGTCCTAGAGTACGGCGGCGAACCAAAAGGGCAGCACAAGGGACAGCATCGCTGCCCTGGGGTTTTAGACGGTGTTGCGGAATGTTTTGCAGAGTTGGGGGTGTCTTGTGCTACACTGAGGAACACCAAAATGTACCAAACTAGTATCGGTACCTATTTCGGCCCTATATCAATTTGCCCGAAAACCCAAACATCGCAAATACGACAGGATACGCCAAGCCGGCAGCATTCTAAAGTTTCTTTGGGCATGGAACTCCATCCCCCGCCACATCGCCTAAGTTCTTCCGTAGATTTGTTATCAGAACTGCTCCGAGAGCCTTCGCCTGCACCATCGAAAACCCCGGAAGGTACCAGGATGACAAGTACGACGGCCTTGGCGGCATCCTCGACGAAGAGGAAGGATCGTCTGGCTGATCCGCCTTCCCAAGTCTAGAAGTGATTTCTTCCTCTTCTCTTGAGGACGGTCCTACTACGTAGAGGACTCTGCAAGGGTGCCTCGAACCTTATTTTACATGTCTTGCTTCCGACAAGCGCCTCAACGACATCAGTCAGGCCAGCGCGGAAGTTTCTATACATATATATATACACACATACACATGTGTACATATTATCCAATGACGGTGCTTTTATTTACGTTAAAACTTCATCGCCTTTGGAGGCTCCAGAGTGGTTCAAAAAAGCGAGTACGCAAGGCTGGCTAGTTTCCCATATCTAGGGAATTCGCTTGGGGCTAGAAGGAAACCCGTAGACCAGGCCGGGGCGAACTGAGCAATACCCTCTGTTATCCACCTGTGCACCCTCGCACTCAAGTCCTTCACGCTATTGACCAAACACGAATGCCCCAAACAGACATCCCTCTACCAAATGGCCGAGGGCCTCCGTGCAGAGGGAGTCTTTGCTGCCGCTGCAGTCGAAGGATGAACTTTGGGATGAGCCTCGCAAGGGAGATATATGTATGGGCACTGGGATATTTTGAGGATGTACGGAGTGTGAGCTCAGGGTTTCGGGTTCGGGGTTTAGAGTTTAGGGCTTAGGGGATTAGGGTTTAGGGCTCCGAATGAGGGGCGTCTTTTTGGGGCTTGGCTTGGAGCTTTGAGTCCAGGATGAGGGGGGGGGTTTTAGGGTTTCGGGATGCGTCTAATAGAGGGTCTTTAGGGTTGACGGATGAGCCGAACAGGGGCATGTTAAGGTGATAAGGGGATTCGGAGTGTAAGATTGAGTGTGGGGATTGAGGGGGTTGAGGCATTCATAAAGGTGTGTGTTTTGGGGTCGGGATCTAGGCCCTTTGCAGATCGCAAGGTGTTCGTCTTGAATGGCTGTGTCATTACGCAGGAGACGGTTTCGTGACCATGCTTGTACACTGATGAGCGGATGTGTGTACCTTCTGGAACTCCGTCTTCGCAGTGTTCGGGTTGCTTAGCCGTTTCTGGCGCTTCTCACAAGGTGTGGGCTGCAGGCGAGGCTTACCTGTGTTACAGGCGGCTTCAATGGTTGGATAGTCTATCGAAAGTTTAGTCGCTCCGGCTGCGTCGGTAGATTGTATGTCTTGACCTGACCTCACTAGGAATATCCGCCAAAACCGCGGATGAAAGGATGAGAAGCTGCCCAACCCATGGGTGCCAGGCTTCTCCGGATACTGCCGGGGCCCGTAGATATTGTTCGGGCGAACCACCTGAGGCATTGCAAGGAAGAGCCGTGAACTCTGCAGATGGGAGGACGACTCATCAAGTCCCGCGTTCTTCAAAAATGACAATACCGCAGATGTGTGCCACTTCCTAACAAATAACTCAGGTTCAAATTTATCAAGTAGTGTAACTCTACACCCATGCCCGGAACCCCGCCACCTCAAACATAAGCGCCTACATCACCTTACACCAATCAAGCTAGCGCCCATACTCGGGAAGAATAGCTCCCACGCAAGCCTGTAAATTCTGGAACTGCTGTCAAGGTGCAACAATGGGCAAGTCCCTGCCGAAGGATTCCACCTGAATGCTGTCATAGGGTTTAGGCTTTGGGGTCTTCGGGTTTAGGGCTGGGGCCTCTTTCCCGACTGCATGTGTCCAAGTTTAGGGTTTAGGGTGTTCGCGTTTTGCCAAGGAAGTGCCATCACCAGGCAAGTGTTCCTGCTGCAATCGCTGTTGTCGTTGTGGCCATCATGATCAGCACCATTATCATTGTGAGGGCTGGGCTCAGCGCAGAGCTTTCCACGGTGTTGATGTAGTGCTCCCGCAAGTTTGAATAGAGTTCTGATCTGAGGGTGTTTCCCGAAGCATCCATCATCCGCCTCACAGATACCGCAGAGTCCCCAAAACCTCAAAAGCCCGCTTGCAACCCTGAACCTTAGAAATCTAGAGCCCTAAACCAGATTCGGGGCGCCACAACTAAGATTCGGAAACCTTAGACATCGACTATCCCCCCAACAGCAAACCATTGACCTTTGCTGAATCGAAACAAACACCTGCAGCAAGCTCACAAGAAACCCCACGAGAATCCTAGACCTGCCGCGTGACTAATTCTGCAGCTCTGCCTTGACAGGCCTAGGTCACATCCCGAAACGAATGGGTTTTGGTGGCTGTTACAATACACGTAACAGCGAGGAACCCTAAGGAAACTCTAAACACGAAACCCTAAGCCCTAAACTTAAACTTAAACCCTATAAACCCTATGATTCCTAAACCTAAATAAACCCCATAAACCCTAAAAACCCCAAAAGCCCTAAACGCTGAAAGCTCTGAACACGCTCTCGTGCTCGGAGCTCGGCGTATCCGTGGACAATACACTCAGCTGCTGCCTGGGTCGGGGTCTTTATGTTTGGGCTTGAGGGTTAGTTTAGGGTATAAGGTTTGTGGTTTAGAGTTTAAGGTTTGCTTTGCTCCACGTTTTTGTCCTTTCGATGGCTTCTCATATCACGACTAAGTTAAAGTACGGCAGTGTAATCTACAAGGAATGCTAATTTTGAGCAACTCTCCATGCTTGAAGTGTAAAGCATACTCTCAGGAATCTCCTACAGCCATGATGTGTGCCTGTTGTCATGTGGACGACACCTCCAAGTAGCAATTCGAATCCGTTCAATGTGGCCCATAGCTTGTCCATGGATGTACTGTAGTTACCTATGCTGCAGCCTCGGGTATGTTGCTGGATTCCGTTTAGGGTTTCGGATTTTCTCCTCCTTCTCCGCAGCCCAACGCCATGTTCTCTAACCCCAGAGGCCCTAAACCCTCCCCGCCTTTGAGGCGCTGTACGGGTTCATCGGACGGAAGCCATCCGTCTCAGAAAAGATGTGGCCGTGGACCTGACGTGTCCACCGAGCTGCTACAACAAGTATAATTAAGTGGCGCAGTCACTCCAGAAACGATCTTGGGGTACTTCTACTCTACTCTACGTTTTCGAATTTCGGACTTACACGACAACTCAATGAAACTCCCTATCTTTCTCGCTCTCTTTGGTTGCGTTCCCTCTTGGCTTGAGCCCGCCACATTTTCGCCGTAGACCTCGTCAGTGCCTCGGCATGAAAGCTCGCTCGAGGTGGTTTTCGGATCCAGGAGTGAATACCTCGGTCTAATGGAAAGAATTCCCTATGGGGCTCGAATTTAGGGAAATTCAAGATTCTCGCTGTCCAGAGCCCCTTGAATCTAATCCGAAATCCCCAATACGTTACAAACTGGGCTTGAACTACATGCCTAAACTGGGAGCCCGTAAGCCAACAAACACGAACACCCGTTCTACAATTCCCCAAGCCCCAGAACCAAACAGACTTAACCCAAAAAGACCTGAAACCCTAAGCCATAACCACAACACCAACAAGACCTGAGACCGGAAGCCCCACACCCTGCACAGCTCCCGAGGCCGAAACTGACGTGAAGAAATCTACGGATTTTGCACTCCCGGGCTGCCTCAGGGGCAGCTCAGTGACTGGGGTTTAGGGTTTGGGTTTGGGCTTTAAGGTTTCTGTGGATGCAGGACAAGGGCCTTCAGAATCAGGAGGCCTTAGTACTTACTTTTGTATACAGCTTTAAATCCAATACAAGAGCCTTAAGCCTCAAGAGTTGGAGCATTTGGAGCGGGGCTTTGGCGAATATGAAACGATAACTGCGCACGGAGAATAAGGGGATGTTACTACGAACTATTTCGACCTCCAAACTCGGGGCGTGTAAACTCTCCGGCTGCATTTTGCTGAAGGCGGGCCTTGCGAGTCTTCTCGATGTGGTGTCGTCTCATCTACACGAAATTCATCAAGTAACGGGGATCCTTCGGTAGGGACCTGACCCAGAACCCGCAGGTCCCGATCCGGCCTGCAAGAGCACGGCCGTTCCCATTGCGTTTACCTTCGCACTGCTTTGAGGTCCCCCCTAAACCCCAAGGCTCGGGGCTATTTCCAAGCTTGGCCGAGGATTTGCATACATAGGTTACCAGGCCCTTTGCGACTAGGCTAGAACTGGGTTTGGGGTACTCAAAACCCTGAACGGGCCTAAACCAAAACTCCCGAGACCAATCGAAAAAGTCGAGGATAGGCTCAGAATAGCCTGTCACTGAAAGCTCAGGTGTTTTGGCTGTTTGGGCCTCATGCCCTGCCTGCACGTAAGCCCTAAACTCCCTACGCACCGAAAGGCTTGACATCTCCCAACCCTGCAAAAAGCACACACAAATACTAACGTTACCGGCTCGTGCTATTCAAACTCCCCCATCCCCTACATAAATCATCCCGGAGCTGCTCCTGCCTCTGTAAATTTCATCGGCACCACAAAGGAACGGTCCACATGAGTCTGTGCCTGCCGTGAGTTGTGGCGCACGATTTCTTGAGGCGGCTTGGAGGGAAGTGTCCCATGGCTCAGTGTACACTCGGGCTTTGCAGCTGCGAGTTGTCGTGGGGAGTCCGCGCGAACGAAAAATGCTAGAGCTCCAAGCAGACTGCGTTATGGATGTGCGCAGCAATGAAGGCGATTTCTGGCAATTGCTTCGGAATCATGGGTAGCTTTCAGGCAGGTGTTCATGCACATGTGCAGTGAAGCCACAGCGAAAACGTGCGAAGACATCTTCTCCGAAGAAATGCGATGCTCTAGCTCTCTCTTTTCTTTGCTTTGCTTTGCTTGCTCATGGGCATGAGGAAGAGGCAGGTCCTCTTCCCGGCTCGTCCGAGCGGCGGGTTACATAGCGAATACCAAGCCTAACACCTAATCTGGGCGAGTGCCTGTTTCGTGGGGTGCCCTCGCTCTTTTCCCAACTGCACTCCTCAAACCCAACCTGTCCTGCCTTGAAGACTGATCCCCGCGCACACACTCCCTCTCTCTCTCTCTCGCTCTCTCCCGCTCCCCTTCTCCTGATCAACCGATCTCGCAATGAAGTCAGTCTGCGCCGAAACTTCCCTGAACATGGCAACCATCAGGCCACTGCGCGAATCTTTACTCTCTCCATCTGGTTGTGCAGTGGTTGCTCAGCCTTCAGTAAAGCACAAGCACTCACATTCCGTCACTAGGGCCAGGAAGTTCAACACTGAAGCGAAAAAGACGACTCTTACCTCCAACCGCAGCAGCCTTAGCCACGCGAAAGTAAGAACCCTGACCTGCTAGAATCCCAAAGCTCCAGACCTCTGAAGCCCAAATCCATGGCAGCCAGGGTGCTGCGAAGTGCATCACAGTATCAAGCTGGTGATCGACCTGCCAGCAGATGCCCAAAGCTTTGCCATTCAGCGACTCGGGGCTTAGAGCTTCGGGCTTAAAGCTCAGGGTTCTGGTTGGGGTTTTGCGTTTGCAGAGCATAGGGTTAAAGGTTTAGGTCCTCAGGGGTTAGGTTTTGACAGTTTAGAGCGCAGGGAAGGAGTTCAGTGTGGCCGTTGAAGATTTTGCAGGGCTTGGGTCGGCGGTCCCTGAATAACCTAAGCTGCGCCGTTTGTGAATGTAAAGTCGAGTTCTGCATTGCGGACTTTGGGCTCTTGGATTCAGGCAAAAGGAAGCTCAGACAGGAAGAGTGTGACGGTTTCCTGTCCTTCCCAAACTCACAATTATGATTCTCATGAAGCAGCAGCGTTCTGGTGTCGTTTTTCGGGGAGTAAGGATGTTTACAGTAGACCCGAACCCTGTACGGATTGAGGTAGAGTGTAGAGGGTCTACTATGAGCCTTCATCTCCTGACCCCAGACCTCCGAGCCGGAGCCCTCTTTCAGCAAGAAGCGGATGGTTTTTCGAAGTCTTTCGCAACTTACAGAAGTTAGACATAAACAGAAGCCTGTCCACTAAACAGCAAAGCAGAACAACAAGCGTGAACTGGACCCCGGGGGCGGCGCACCAGCACACGCCTCACAGCCTTGCTGCACCTTGGATGTCTTGCTCAAAGCTGATGAGATGTGTCTCTGCATATCTTGGGCATTGTGCTTCTGAGGGTCCTTGCTCTAGGTTTTTGTGATTTGACTTCAGGTGCTGGTGTGTACAAACCTCCATGGCTTTGCAACTGAAGACTTCTTGTAGGCTGAGGGGTTTTCGACCCTGGGACGGCAGCCATGTGAGCCCAGGTCGTGACCATGTTAAGCGATGAGGGTAACGACCTGAAGCTGCGAACTATGAATCGGAGGTCTTGGGCATGGGCTCCGCTGCTTGTACAACGGTCAGGTGGCAACCGTATCAATTTCAATACCTTGCAGTGTCCCGTGCTGCTCCTAGCTCGCAAGGTACCAGGAAAGCAGTATTCCTATGGCTTTTGCAGCACAGGGCTATCATGACGGCATGCACCGAATCCTCGGTACGCGGATGCCCGTAGGGCTCCCACAGTCTGCGCAGTAAACCCTAGCCAATTGGAGTCCCCTCACATTGAATCCGACCACCCCTGGTGCCCTGGAGTCAACAAAGCTCGCTGTCCGTAGTTTAGAAGTTTGAAACTAGGGTTCTTTTAGGGTGTTGGGCTTTAGGCCCCCGATATCTGCAAGGTCGACCGGATGCAGGAAGGTCTGTCTAGACGGCCCCTAAAGTCATTCAGCCCTGATCCCGGGTATCCCAGCAGAATGTCGCCCTCAACAAAGAGGAAGTTTCTGGCGCCGCGGATGGGATCGAGATTCAAGAGGTTCGCGCCTGTCGCGCCAGGCTCTGCAGTCCACGCATGTTCGATCTTTTGTTTATGCTTGTTGCGACTGGTTATTCAAAACAACGAAACCGAGAACAACAAGGTTGAGCACGCAAGTGATGACGGTAGGCCGATGCTGCTCACGGTAGTCATGATGATGATGTTGATGATGACGATGGTGGTGGTGGTGGTCTGGTGGTGTGCTGGCAGTGATGAAGTTAATGGTAATCTTAATGCAATGGTTGCGGCTATCCAATGGTTTCGTTGTTGACGGTGAAACGAAAGAAGTTTAAGGTGTAGTTGATCTCGCTCGTGAAGACGACCATGCTGATGCTTGCAAGCTTAACCAGCTTCATGTTTAGAGTGCCTTCCGGAGCGGCCGGCCGCTAGAATATGTGACGAAGAAACAACGAGATCGGAGTGATGAGAACTAAGATACATATTCCCAAAATTGCCAGAATGTCCTATGAGCCTATTCTAATTATTTCGCGAACCCGCCCCCGATTTTGTCTCGTTTTGAGTACTTGACGAGGAAGCTTCGGATTTGTGAGTCGCGCGCACGGAGCTCAGAGTTGCACGGTTGTCCAGTACATAAGAAGAGGTTGGGGTTCGCGAAATATGAGATTATCATCACCATCAGAATAAAGCCTTGGGGATATACTAAAATAGCATACTATCAGGGTTATATACAAGGAACCTGGTGGAATATTTTTGCTTACTATTCAGGCCGCGATCTTCACATTGAAACCCTTCGCTTCGAGCTCAGAGCCGCTTTATCCAAACCAGCCCCAGGTCTCCCCCGCACCCTCAGACAAGTTGTCCAGGCAAAGGAAGAACACCTCCACACAAGCGCAGGGTCGAAGAAAGGGCTCGGCTTCTGATTTAGGGGTTCGCATCTTTAGAGTGTGGTCTCGGGGCGGCAGGGTCTCCTTAGCGTTAGGATTTGGGGTCTCATGCAGGTGCCTCTTTCCGACCAGCATTCTGTGTTGAGCAGCCTGATCCTGGCTGTCTGGCGGGGGTTTGTCCAAAAGGTCCGTGCTTCGGCAGAGCCCGCCGCCCTCTCGAACTGCGGCTTTTGAAAGCAACGTATGTTCGCGCTAGGTTATCAAAGTGAAACTGAAGCTCCCACCTTTCAACCAGAGACGAGGAAGCTCTCGGGGCTCGGAATACCAACGTGTGATTCAGAGTCCCAAATCTCAAGCCCCATTAGAGGTAGCGGGGTTGCAGACTTTGCCTGGGGTTGTCGCACGAACCTAACGAAGCATGCACAACCACGGTAGAGACCTGTGCAGGACTATAGCATAGGACAGAACGTCGACGCTCGGATGAACCCACCGATTCTCCAGCCTCTGGGTACTTCTGAACGAAGTAGATAAGAACATTCGACCTCCGATGTGGTAATGTCGCAGAATCAGAAATAAGCACAAACTGCACGCCGCTCCTATGTGTAACCCTTGTTTTGACAACCTTCGTGAAGCCTGCCGTGCCGCACTGTGTCTGAATAGGATGACATCAGGGTCCGAGGGCAAGAATATTTTGCCGGCGAGTACAAGCCCCCCTACCTTTGGATGTGTGTGTGTGTATGCGTCTGTGTGTGATTAGTATACGTACACATAAACCTGTGACAAACACGAAAGCACGCGCATGTAAGATACACAATATAGATTGCAGCACATTCCGAAAGGAAGACGGAATGGGAGATCGACAACGAGAGAACAAACTGTCGGCGGAACGATGTGTTGGTCGGGGGGTCGATACTGTCTTCAAACGCGTGATGAGTGTGCTCCGTCCTCGACATCCTCGGGAGGGGTAACAAGTTTGGTGAACCCTAAACCCTCAACCCTAAACCCACGGTACTTGAAGAAAGCAACCCGGTAGTCTCGCGTCCGACAACAGGCCAGTGCAGCAGAGGAAATCTGGAAAGTGCGGGCTGACAATTCCCAGGAGCTGGGCTACAACCTTCAAGAATACACGAAAGATCACACTCCTGCATGCCAAAAGCTGAGCAACCAGATGTACTAGAAGCAGTCGTGAGCTTGGGGCACGGGCCCAATAAAGCCGGCTCCTCCAGTGAAAAGAACCCGCCTGCGCTGGAAGCGCGAGGAGGCCCGGTAAAGGAGCTGGAAAAAGAAAGACCTAACTATCTGGGTTTCAGGGTTATGGTTCTGGGTTTTATGGCTTGGGCTTTAGGGTTTACGTTCGTAATCAGGGGAAGCTATGAGGGTCTATATTATGAGCTTATTGGAACGGGTAGCTATGAGATCGGGCGGAATGTAATCATGTCACATTACTTGCTTCTTTAAGCAAAACTTCGAATCCCATGTTGAAGAAACCATGATCTTCCAAGTAGTAAAAAGGCGAGAACAGAATCGGCTTAAGGGTACAGATATGTGCAACTCTTCTTCTATTCTCCAAGCTTTAGGTGGACCTCACCTCTACAGAACCCAAGACCCACAAGAGCTCTGCAGTACGGCCCAGGGTTTCCCCTCGCCATCACATTCACTTCTGACAACTGCGAGTACTGGGATGGAGACAGTGAATTGGGTCGCTGGCTTCAGAACTCAACAACTTGGGGTCCATGGTATGGGAGTTTAGAGCTCATGGCTTGCACGGTCTTACATATATAGCCATAAAGAAATCATATCAGGGAAGGCTATGTGCGGTCCAAGCTAGGGTTTAGGGTTATTGTTTGGCCTGTAGTTGCAGTTTGGGGTAGAGGCGTGGGCCAGATCATGCTGGCAAGTGCCCTCAAGTCCTAAAGCGATCCTGAAGCCAGAAAGGACTAGGAATGTTGATGTGAAGAACCATAATTTGAGGGCCTGAATGATGACCATTGGATTTTGTGTATATGCACACATATACGCTTAGTTATTTGTCTGATTGTATTTCATAGGGAGAAGTACAATGACAAGGAACCATGGGATTGATGCCGAGCGTATGGACCTCAAGGCTTTCACACATCACACAACCATCATCACAACCGGCGCAATCGGCGAATCAAGAGTCACCCCACCAGCTTCCAGCACAACACTTTGCATCGTTAATGAAGGCCAGCGGTTAGATGTTCTATGTCGCTACAACACCACGGTGTAGACTCCGAACTGCGAAGCGCCATTTCGAGTCGGACAGTACACAGTATACCCGATACTCCCTTCCTCCCCAAGTTCCCTCCACATCCACATCCAACCAAAACGAAGCAACTAAGCTGCAAAGATCAAAAGCCAAAACCTTAACCCTCGAATGCCTGAAACTGTTAACACTAGAAACCCTAAAACCTGTAAGTCTAGACTCTATCAACCTAAACCCGACTTGCTAGAAAGATCCCAAGAGGGCAACTGGACTCCGACCCAGTCCTTGGAGCGTAGTCCCCGCTGACTTGGAGCATCTGCATGGCTTTCGGAAGGCTTGGGCGACTCTGGGGTCCAAGGGCTCGACGAGGGGTGTTTATAAGTGTTCATTACAGGAGTTTGGGATTTCAAATGGCTTCTATCTACATACCTATATATATATATATATATACAATACTATCTATATATAATACTATATAGATATCAGGATTTTCTGAGGGACACTTTGAAGTTTGCGGGCTCTGACAAGCGCGATGAGCTGCCTCGACGGTGCGGTCTGCTACCACCACCAGGGTTTGGAGTTTTTTTTTTAGGGTCTCTGCCGGGGTGGAACACGGGGATGTCGGAACGGTAGCTCCCCCCTTGCCCAAGTTCGGGAGCCCCTAATAACGCCATCTTGCTTGAAGAATCTACATAAAGCCGAAACAAGCCCCTGTAAACCAACTCTGACAGACCCTTCTACAAGCTCTGTAAGGATCCCCTGCGCCTCGGCACCAGGTGAGGTGGTAGGAGACTCCATCCGGGCTTGAAGGATGCTTTTGGGGGTGATCAGGGAGGGTGTGGCTTAAGTCCCTCATAGGGTTTGTCAGGGAGGTGTGGAAGTACAGGGGCTATACGGGGGTCTGAGTAGCCCAAAGCCGCAGAGGGTCTTGGAGTTTAGGGTCGTAGGCTTTGGCGTTCGCGGGTATCGGTCGGTTGGACGCTTGGTTGGGTCCGTTGTGCTTCCACGCGCTGGCTTCGCGAGGTTGGCTTCAGGGTCCTTCTTGCGTTGGATGAAAGTCCTCGCCGGGTGGATTTCTTCAAGGCCAGCTTAGTCAGTTGGGGTTAGGAGTAGACAAAGCCATACTTCTCTCACGTTTAGCCCTGCTTCCTACGTCCCATGCTTCCTTCAAGTGGGATCTTCAGGGCTCTTAAGTGAGGCTGACCAGCTCAGGGTCCTCGTCTCTCCGTGTTCCGTGTGCCGATGGCTGCATGGTGCGGCGGTCAGGCTCCGAAGCGAAACCCCGAACCCAACAAAACAACAAACAAAACCTATCGCTGAAAACATAAGCCTTAAGCTCCAAGATGTACACCCTACGCCCTCAACCATCAACCACAAGCCCGTTGAGAAAGATTTGTTATAGTGGGGTTTGAGTGGGTGGGGGGGTGGAGGTTGTAGGCTTGGAGATGTCTCCTGCCAGGCGAACCGGATCTGCCACTGAATTCTACAAGACTTCTACGAGGGTCTAGATACACAAACATACATATGCATGTGGGTAGCAAACCTCCATACCAGGGGCTGCCTTCAGGATTACCGGGATCGGTAAGGGTTGGCACTTGAGTCAGCCAAGAACTCTTGCAAGATCTGCCACCGTTTGAACAGTTTCTTGTGGTCTCCATCTCTCTCACACAATGTGCTACACGTACCTTGCCGCTCCTCCCCATTTCAAGCTTAGCGACCCTCTCTGCGCCCACAAGCTTTTCTCCATTTTCCGGCGTCGCAAATCATGCTTCTGATCGGTCAATCCATCACTACAGGCGTTCGGGATCCGTTGGTTGGGTGTTCAACTATAGGGGTAACTACCCATAGGCTCCATAGTAGTTCCTTCTGGGGATTATCTTATAGGATTCTACATATGAACCACAAAAAGGAACTACTTTGGGGCCTATGGGTAGGGTCTAAGAAGCGCCTCTCTTCAACCTGGCTCATGCTGGGTCAGGATCATTATCCAGGAGCGTGCGGGCCAACACGTGCTCCGACCTGGCTTTCTTGGCTTATATACACATAAACGGAGTGGTTGAGTTTTTGGCATCTGCCGCCAAAGTCGACCTCGGGACCTAGATCCAACACGCACAGCACAAACTAGCAGTACACGGAAAGTCCCGCGCAGCCCTGCACTGCTCGATTTCTTCACCAGGGCACCGTCGTTCCACGCACCCCAGAGGCTACTACCGTTCTTGCCTTCCTGCGACCGGGGACAAGACTGGTATTGTCGTCATTGCAACGAGCTGCTGTTTCTGATAATGTTGCTCCTTCAAGTACTCGTGATACTTTGCCCACCGCTCCTCCTCCCCTCCTCCTGCACATCAACCACAGCTGAAACTGAGGCTCTGGCACGGTGTGCAAGTGGTGGATGATGGGCGCGTTTCTGACGGGCAAGATCACGGGCGTGGGACTCGCTGACTTGCTTTTCGAAGATTTACGTTCGCAGTGTAGTGGCATTTGCGATACCCTATGAAGGCCAAATAACCAAAGTCTTACAGACCAGGTCCGAGTCCCAAACAACAGCTCTTACGTCAGCAGAGCTCAAGAGGGGTCTACATTAAACTCGTGTTTCCAGCTCGAAAAGTAGAAAACAGACCAGGAGCAGAACCTCCGGCAAGCGGATCTTGCAATCTTGCTGGAAGATGTCAGATAGGGGTCCTGTCCCCAGAATCGAACCTGAATCCACGCACCAATCGTCCGAGGGATCCCTGCATGCACTCATCAAGCCCCGAATATAAGCCCTACTTCATATCCTCATTGGAAGCGACATGCTGTAATCTGAGAAGTGGCGTGAGCCGAATGAGCCTCCTGTTCTGCATACAGAACCCTTGGCCAGAGTCAGCACCAGAGTTTGACAGTGTGGAACATGGCACTTAAGGAAACGTAACCAGATACAGGAAGCTGCCGAGATCAATATTCTCAGTGATGGGGTGGCCTGCCATCCCAGAATTTCATGCAGTTCTTCTGCACGGCTTCGACTGGTGATGCTTTGCCTCTGATGCATCGTAGCTGCTGGGCTGGTTTTGGGTACGGCATTGATGGTTTTCATGCAGCTAGTGAGTCGCTTTTCTTCTTCCGACTCGACTGCAACTGCGTGGTGGCACTGCCGGACCTACTGCTCCTGCTAAATTACTATCGCGACGGCTTCCTCTTCATCAAGAGCATCATCGTGGTCAGTACTACTATGATGAGCAAATACGGTTCTTCAGCCCTCACCATCACTCCCACAAAAAAGAAGCATATCGACAATCAGCATAAGAATTCCTAGTCGTCGTCGCTGCTCTCGTCTTCGAAGCAGCAGTTGCACCGCGAACTGACAAGCAAGACAAAGGTGAACGCATGACACCAGAAGGCCACCCGTGAACTTGCCTGACGCGAAACCCTGCACACAAAGCTCTAGACCCGAAGCCCTACACTCAAGAATCTAAACCCTAAACTCTGAACTCTCAACCCGAAACGACGCCCGGCATCGGAGCCATCAGAATCAGCAATCAGCACTGAAGCCCCAAATCAAGGGCGATCCCCAATCTTCTCGCGACTGAGACCAGGCCGGGAAGCAGTATGCTCTCGCTTCCCATTTGTCCTGTAGAACAAAAGGCAGGGTTCAGAGTTTACGGAAAAGGATACAAACACGAATGGCTACGCTTGTACGGCATGACACGCATACTCCAGGGCATGCGCGTTAACCAGGAGGAGCAACGGTTTTTGAGCCATTGGGAGCGCATTTCCGAGATTAACAGTATGACTAAGGCCACGTTCGTGATCATCCTCATTATGGCCATCATGATCACCAACATTCAAACATCACCATCATCATAAGCAAGCTGGTCGATCCGGAAGCTACTAAGCTCCAGCTTTCAGGCCGCACAAGGCTGAGAGGGCGCATGTAACGGCCTGCAATTCGGAATCTTCGGTCCTTGAAGCTGCGCATCTTCGCCAAGACCTGACAAATCCGTACAGTCGGTCTAGGTGAACTGGGTCAGCTTCAGTCGTCGAGTCGAAACTACCGCTGTCAGTCTCTAGGGCTTGACGTCAACAGATAATCTTCGAAGTAGTGGTAGGATTTATTACATCTGCTCAATCACTACGAAATTTGACCAGCACCAGCTTTCCCTCGCGCAGCAGGCTAAGGCAGGCTCGGGCATGGTAAACCCTAAGTGCGGACCAAAGCCCCGACTTCCACAGTCAGAATCTGAATCCTACAGTACACTTGAAGTTCACTCACCTCCATCTCCAACCTCACCCACAGCCTCTAGGCAGCCCGCAGATCCAACCCCCATAGGGAAGCCCAGCCCGGAGGTGCCTCAATAGCGCCCAGCTCACCTTTCTCCGACCTTCCGGCTTATGAGGTTCAGGGCAGGTCAAGGGTCAGGGGGCCTCAAGAAGTCGAATAGGGTAGTAGGGGGTAAATTTTGTATGATTAAATTATTTTAGGGTGGGGGGCTGGAAGTGGAGGTCAGTAGTACTCATCCAGGGGTGTAGGGTGCCGTTGAAGCGCTACTATAGAAGCCTAGACCTAAATAATTAGGGGTTCCTGCATTTACTGATAGTATCACGGACCCCAAAACCCTATTCTAATTATTAAGGCTCCTATATTGGGGTTTTAGGGCATTAGGGCTTAGTTTAGGGCTTAGGAAGTTTAGGAGCTGTTTCCAGGGAACAAAGGGCAGAGCAAGATTGGTGCAAGATCCAACACCTGAAAAATGTAGCCTTGCAGAAAAGTCATATGTGGTAGTGTAGAATCGCGAACCTCGCACCAAGACCGCAAAGTCAAATCCTGCACCCCATCGCACAGGCCCTAAACCCCAAAACAACGCCACCAGATCCTAAACCCAATTGATCCGAAATCCAACTCGGGATCCTCGCAGAGTGCCGAGCCCTTGAGCCCGGCTTTGGGGTTTAGTGTCCAGCGTTTCAGACTTTTAGGGTCTAGCACAGGAGCCTGAACAACAGGACTCGGGGTAATTGAAAACGCACGGAGTGATTCAGACCCCTATAATCCTCTAAAAGCCAATAAAGCCTCACTAGGACCCTTCAACCCTAAAGAACCCTTTCAAAGACCCCTGTCTAAACCAGGACCTGAAGGTCTCAGGCTGTCTCTTCGTTTTGGGCTTCAAGGGTTCGGCTTAGGGTTGAGGGTGGGTTTGGCATATATTTAGGCTGTCAGGCTTCGAAGCGTGCAGAGCCCTCGACCCTCAACCGAAACGTAAAAGATGCTAAGACCTCGAATCCAAAAGCCACAACTGCCAACTTCAGCATTCCAATGTTCACACCTACCTCCATCTTTCGCCGAGTGGCTCCCCGCTCAGTGGATTCTGCTGCATCTCCCAGCAGCCCAGTGGGTAGGCCTTCAGGATCTAATTACGGGTGCTAGCTCTGCCATCAATCCTCGTTTAGCAGCACTGTCCTGACGATCATCATGCTAGTACCGATTGGCATGATTTCTGGTGATTTCGAAAAGTGTGACAACACAGCATGATTAGCACACCATAGCATAACACAACGCAACATAACATAACATGACATGATGACGTAACATAACACAGCAGAACACAAAATAACAAAACATGCCAAAGCAACAACACATCACTTACAACCCTAGCACACAACCCGAACCCCTTCTCGCGAAACCCCGAATCCATACCCTAAACCCATAACCCTAATATAGGGGCCCTAATAATTAGAACATGGTTTTGGGGCCCCTGGTACTATGTTGAAAACATGGTCCAACGTGGGCGTGAAGAGGGCTTCGGAAGGTATAAGGAGGAACCCCCAAAATAGGATCACAAGCAGCCGCTCTCACCCAACCTTGCCCCGGCGATTCCGCGAGGGCTGGCCACAGCCCGAGGCCCCAGGAAAGGCCACCTGCGCCATAATTGAGGAACCAACCAATCTTTTGCGAGTAATAAGACTATAGAAGTGTTGTAGGAGCAGTGGCAGCAGTAGCAGCAGCAGGCCCTAAAGAACAAAGCCTTAAGACTGGAACCCGAAAGCACTGAACATCAATTTTAAGACCTAACCACCAGGCCTAGTCAATCTGCACCCCCAAACCCGAGCAAGGCCGCCCAGCTACAAAAAGCAGAACGCCGCCGTGCCTTCTGTTGCAGGAAAGGCCTGGATAGGCTCGTGGGGAATTGGATGCAGGCCGATTTCTACATTCGGTGCAGGGATGCCGAAAGAAGCCTTCGGGAAGATATGATCTTAAGCCGGTGAAATTTCAAGATTTCAAGCGGGCGGTGAAGCAACGCGGCTGACCACAGTAATGTAGGATGTCTTGAGAAGCTGGAACTTGGAAAGTGCGAGAACTAAGCATCATCCCACGATTTGCTCCTTCGCTACGCAGCACCATGTTTGGATTTACGACTCGAAAGCTCCAGGAGTGCATTACATTCCACAAAAACCCCCACCCTCGAACTCCAAAATCTGATAAGCAAGCTGCAAGATGTTCATCGCCAAGGCTGGGTAGATGATGTCCTGAAGGGTTTAGACCCTCGAAGCAAGGTTTGGGGTCTAGGATTTGGGGTGCCACCTGCTGAATCTTGAATCACATGCATCGACAGTGACTTCGGGAATGCTAGAGAAAACAGTGATTCAGAACGAAGCTTGCATCGGCTTGCACTAGCGATGAACCCTGAAGCCCCAAACCCCCACAGTTCCACAACGACATGAAACCTATTGCAAACCCGATGTAGTCATACGGGCATGCAGTCCTACGTCTCTCCCCGGCTCCCTCCCTTGGAACACTCTTCCGGTTTAGGGGGCTCAGAATGTGGGCTTTGTGCATCTGGATTCCTGGGGTACAAGACTTGCGCCTTCATTCTTCCTACCTCTGGTTAGTAGGGATGGAAGAATGGTAGTAATAGTAATTATAATTGTACCCCATTCCTCCATTCCCTACTAACCAACGGTAAGTTATATCTGGATTATTAAGGCCCCTATATTATAGTACCCTTATAGATCCCTTATAAGGCCCCTTTCATTCCCTACTAACCAAAGGTCAGTCTTGAGCCCCAGGCGCTTTGAGGCGACACATCCATCGGCAGCGCTTGCAACAGGAACCCTAATCGTGGTCCCTTTTTGGGTCCCGATTATAGTACGGCACCTATTATTTAGGGTACCCAAAAAGGGGCTTAAGCGCAACGGAGTTCAAGGCGGTCTCGATTGAGGCACGACACGGCTGCTATTTGTCTGGTCGCTTAGGTGTTCTGTCGTGAAGTGCAGGATTGTAGACATTTATGGGCGCTAGATGCTCCTTGGGACGAAGGTGCCTTACAGTCCATCATGCGATGCCACCTTTTCGGATATCAAGGATGATGCCACTTGTCACGAGGACCAAACAACACGTCACATCCCGCAGCCTAAAAAATCCAGACAGCTGAACTCCCATCCGCTTGAAATTTCTGAACATTAAAAGCCTAAAAGACTGGATCCGAGAATACCAACATAACCCACAACCGCCCGTCCTGTGAGCAGGAGTCAGGCCATTCAAAGCGGTTCTTCATGAACCTGTCTCTGGCATGATGAACCCTAAACCCTAAACTTTGCTCCTAAACCCTGAACCCTAACTCCTAAACCCGAACCTAAGCCCTGACACGAACACGAGCACAAGCACCCTGAGCCCCCCGACTCTGTTTCCGAACTCCTGTACCTCAAGCACCTAATACACGGCCATAATCATTGGAATAGGGTTTTGGGGCCCCTTATATTATAGTTTTCATAATTAATTAGGAAACCCCCACAATAGTATTGGTAACTATTTAGACCCCTATATTAAAAGCCTGAAGCTGACAAAACTCAGCAAAAGTCTTCCAAATTTCAGGCAGGACGCAGCGGACAACCGACCGCACGGCCTTGTTTACCTGACCGGAGGCTGATGGAGGCTTCTTCGACTGGCTGCAGCAGTCCTACTGGCTTCTTCGTCTTTGTGGTATGTCGACTAGAGAAGACATCGAAGTGTATGGTGGCTGGATATGCTTCGACCAACCCTACACCCATCGAAATGATGATGATGATGATGGTGATGACTGTGGTGATGGGGATGATTGCGATGATGGGAAATGATGATGATGGTGATGATTGTGGTGATGGTGATGGCTGTGATGATGACGACGAGGATGATGATGGCTGCATCATCATCATCATCAGCATCATCAGCATCATCATCATCATCAGTCTAACCGCAGGCACTAACAGCATGGGCGTGACAAGCGAAAGTCTTGATGAGGCCAACAGACATTGCATGTCGAGCCAGCCTAATTCATTTCCGAGTCGCTGTCCCCCTCGCTGGAGGAAGCAACGCGGCCAAGCTGAGGCCAGTTGGTCCGGAGCGCCTTCACAGAAGAACAAGCCTATCAAAGCCAAAGCCCCAACAGAAACTGTTGAGGAATCCCACTGCCCCTAAACACCAGCACAATCAAAAGCAGCTGGAAGCTGGTCTGCGGTTGAAAACTTCACATGATCTGGCTGCTTCTTTGACTGTCTTTGTGTTTGTCGGGCTTTGCGAGGCTTGGAGCATGTGTTAGGTGCCTTAACTGTGGTTGCTTCCATGTCTTCCGAATCGACACCCTGAGATTCAACGGCCATACAAGTCTAGGCACCCACAGCCCCCAAAGTCCCAACAGCCACTACTATCGGGGCCTTAGTAATTAGAATAGGGTTTTGGGACCCATTATACTATAATTACATGAGGAACCCCCCAAAATCGTCTAGGTAATTATTTAAGCCCCTAGAGTGAACCCCACACCCTCATCCACCCAGGCGCCTGCACAAACTTGCGGTTGAAAACAAAAGCGTTGCCCCACCTCTGTTGAAGGTTTAGGGTTTACAGTAGAGTTCAGGGTTTAGGGTTTTTTGGTTTAAGGTTTTGGGTTTAAGGTTCAGGCTTTAAGGTTTCGGGGCTAGATTTTGAGGGTCTGCGCGAGTACAAGTGCCAGTACTCCGACTTGTTCTTCTTCCACTACTACTGCTGCTACTACCTCTTCGTTTCTGCTACCGCAACTTTCCGAGATTCCTTTCCTGATCATCACCATCGTCATCACCATCACAATGATGATCTCCCTTCTTCTTATAAGCCCCAAAGAGATCCTACGCCCGTACTCCTAAATCCTAAGCCTCAAAGCTTGAAACCCCATATTCCTCAAGCCCGAATCCGAACAGTTGATGAAGTCAGAAATTCCCACTCTCCAAACTCCAAACCCTGAATCCTTAACCCAAGACCCAAAGCCTAATTCCTAAATCCGGTTCTGAAAGGGCCCGGGACCCAACATGCTCAGCAAAGGCGCATGAGCATGATTGGGCCCGACAGCCCGGACTTGTCTTCTTTGGACCCGTCCTGGATCAATCGTTTTAGGGTTTGGGGGTTCTGGGCTTGCGGTTAAAAGAGTAATTAGGGTGCAAGATGCAGGGTTGAGGATTTGTGGTTTCGGACTTCCTTCGAGCTGCAAGTTGACCAAACCCACGGTGGGTGGACTCCTGTGCAAGTACACTCAACAGTCTACCGCAATTCGTGCCAGCCATCATCCGAAGTCTTCTTGACAGAGACACCGACAATCTCGGTTGCAAGACAACCCCCGATGTAGGATTCTGGTTAAACCCGCAGTCAAAAAATCTGTAGCGCCCTCAAACCCTTGCATGGCCTAGACCCCCCTGCAGCCAAGATGAACTTTGAAGCAACATCCCCCTATAGTCCCGCTATCATTATCCTACTAACATATACTAATCTACTAGAACCCAACATAGTTTAGCATACAGTATGTACAGGTCCCCTTATCATTATACTATAGCAGATACGCCCCCACCCAAACTTCCAAAAATTTGAGGATTCGGCCTCGAGACCTTGAAGGTACTCTCGAATCGTCTCCTGGGGGGCGCCGGGAACACACATGGGAGGGTTTAGGGTTTAGGGTTTAGGGTGGTTGTCAAAATTATGGTCCCTGTTTGGGTCCCTAGTATAATACGGCACCGGATATTTAGGGTACCCAGAAAAGCAAGCCTTAATTTTGACAACTACCCAAATGGCCTTACAGAACTGGCTTTCAGGGTCTGGGGTTTGGGCTCGGGATTTAGGTTGCAAGCCGATTGTCCGGATTTTTAGCTTTCCATGGACTGCTTCAGGTTTGGAGTTAAGAATCTGGCATGTCGATTCCTCGCCAAGGCCTTAGAGTAGATGGTATGTTCTTTTGGGCGGAAGGGAAGGGGCAGCGGCACAATCTGGTTAGAATTTGGTTGTCTGCTCCGCAGAGTTTCGACTTTGCGACACGGCCGGCTGTGGCAGCAGGGCGGGTGTCAGGTTCAGTGACCAATTTGGAGGATCGTATGGAGGGACATGACTAGGGCTAGGGCATCGAGAGTTGACACCATGGGCACAAATAAAAGCAGCTGCAGAGCTCGAAACCCAGTCAAGCAAACCCAGCTCACGGACTCAACCGCACTGTGAAGCTTGAGTTTAGCTTTGACTAACCCTAAACCCTAAGCCCTAAACTCTACGATGTCTGGCTGCATCCTCCAGCTTTCACCTGTGGAATTAAACCGTTGACGTGCCGGGCGCCTTCGCCCTCGAAGGGGAGAGGAAGTGATCTAACTCAGAGTTGAGCAGCCAATCCTCGAAAATCGAGGTGTTTTTGGCATTAGGGCTTGGGGCTGAGAGGGTTCAACATCTGCTTTCCTCACTGGTTTTAAACTCTTCGACTGATTTAGTGCTTCAGTCTGCGGCGACGCTCTGGGGGGCCTGGGGCTTCGGCTTACGTTTAGACTGTCGGGCACTCTTGAAGTGCGGAGCCAATTATTCAGGACACTGAGGCCAAAGTCCGATACTATAAAACAACGGAACTGAACTGCACAACCCTCACCCCTTCAACCCTGTTCTCCCTCGAGGACTTCACCCTACACCCCACACCCCTACACCCTAAGCCCGAGCGGCGCGGATAATGACAGGAGCACCCAAACATCGACTACGGAATGTAGCCAATGTAACATCTCCATTACGGTGGAAGGATGCCCAGTTACAGGGTTCGAAGTCAGGCGTAAGGCATCAGATTAAGCTTATGTATGTTATTTTGGGCTCTTTCACACAGAAACCCAAGACCCTATGCTGCAAAGCAGCGAAGCTCTCGGCGATTCCGGAGCGGAGTAAATGATCCCAGGACGGCATCAACCCGGCCATGTTCCGGTGGTAGAGCCTGGGTGACAACAACAACAACATCATCATCATCATCATCATCATCATCATCGTCAGGGTTTAGGGCTGCTTGGGGTGTGGGGTTCACATTTTATTGCACTGGGTTTTGGGTTCACCTAAGACGCGCCCTCATAGCTTTTGGGCTGAGTTCTTTAAGATGACGTTTAGGGGAATCGGGCCACTAGGGGCTGCTCCTCTGGTGAAGTCGCACCGAGCCGCTCTACAAGTTCGGCCCTAAACCCTAAAGCTCTTAACCCTAAGGCCCGAACTGAAAACATCTCAAAGCCAAAGAACAAAAAAGCCTCAACTTCGTTCCCGCACCTGGAACGGAACACACCGCACGTCATAAGCAGGACCCCTGGTGTGTCTCTCTCGGTTTAGGGTTTGGGGTCGCGGAAGCCGCAACCCATGAACCCGAGCATACCGAGGCCCCTGAGCGTCAAAGAACCTCAACCCGACCAGCTCCAGACAAGGAAAGTAAGTTATCAGCCCCTTACACGCTGGGGCCGACGAGAGACCTAGCCCGCTCTGCAAAAAACGAGAACTCCAAAGCAGCAAAGCCTACTAGAGGCATTAAAACTTGCTTAGGGCGCTGGGGTATACTGGAGCATCAGCATCTAGGGACTATAAGAAGATATTCAAATACTCAGACCTCCATACTCATCAAGCTCTACCCATCTCAGCACATCTAAGAACTCACCCCCCAACGAAAGCTTGCGCTGAGGGATTCACCATTGCCCGTGTGTCCGTTCCCTGGACAGCGCTAGCGGGGCTTCGGGGGTTTCGGGTGTAGGGAAGTTGAGTAGGCATAACTTCGGGGTGTTGAAAGCTAGGGTGCAGTGTTGGTTTTGGGGGTCCAGATGTGAGGGTGTAGCGTTTAGGCCTTCGGAGTTTAGCTCCCTCCGGCGTAGCGCTTTGGGAATAAGGGCTTCCGGATTTTGGAGCTAGCTTGAGTGTGGGGGTTGGGGGTTTGGGGGTTCACATGTTCAAACTGAGCTATCTTGGTTCAGAGTTTCAGAGTATAGGGCTTCTGGCTTCTGGACATCGGGGATGTGGAGACCCTTTACGATTTTTGCAGCAGGTTATGTACCTCGCATGGTGGTAAAGCGACCTTCCCGAGGATCCGCAGAGGCAGATTTATATGATGGGGCTGTTTATGGGAACCATTATATTATGGGGCTGTTTCTGGTTACTATTATGGTGAAAGGTTGCCCTTTCTGCCTAAATCCGGAAGATACTGTAGATCCCAGCTCCCAAGTGTGACCATAGTCAGACGGCAGGAGCAATCCCTGTACCTCTAGAACAATCACACAGGTGGTGGTCAGTGCTGGGCATCTCCATACCGACTCAACAACACTACAAAAACAAGGCTGTAGAACCCATCTGTCGAAGTTTGTGATCCTAAAATTAAAGGATCCACCTAATTATGTTTGTGTTGAGCCGCAAGCCTCACACCCAAAACACCCGAAACCCAAAAGCCCTTAAGCTAAACCCTAACACCCCAAACCCAACAGCCCCAAAATCGAAAGCCCCCTGACACCCTAAACCCCCTCAAAAGCAATTCAGAGGAGCGGCACGCGCTGCTTTGGCACCTGGACTCGGACAAAATCTTCTTCGTCCTCTTTCACTGGACTCTCGGTGTCCGTGAAGAAGAGGTGACCTGGTGCGACTTCAAAATTTTGGGCTGAGAGATTGATGGGGATGGGCGCTCGAGGTTAGGTTTGGGAGTGAAGTAACACTGAGGGTCCGGCCGTCACACTTCTTGTACTGTCTCCGAACCTGCGGAAGCGGGTAATGCTTGAATCGCTACACGTTTCTGGCGCTGGAGACGGAAAAAGAGCTGGCAGATTAAGTTGGCGGAGAGTACTGTGTTGTCGATTATGAAGCTGGCCATAAGATGATGACTGATGAAGATGGTGGTGATGATGGTGATGGTACGGTGATGGTGGTGATGGCGTTGGTATGGTGATGGTGGTTGGGGTGATTGTGATGGTATGGTGACGGCGGTGATGGTGATGGTGATGGTATGGTGATGGTGATGGTATGGTGATCATGATGCTGATGCTGATGATGATGAGGATGATGATGATGATGGCGCTGGGTTTTGTTCCAGGAACGAGTGAAAGAGTAAGGGGGGAGGGCGATGGTTCTTGTTTGTTCCTGCCGAGGTCACCCGGATGTCCTGTACCTTCTGTGTGTGGGGTTGACAGAGAATAGCCAGAATCGCCGCAATAAGCAAATCTCAACAAAGGTTTACGCTTGATATGAACAGGACTTTCGGGGGCTTCTACAACGCTTGGCCACATCCAAGTTGAAGGCCTCGTTAAGCATGCCCTCGTCGTTCTTCCGGCGTGGTGACCAGGCGAAGCAGAAGAGGGTCCTGAGCAACGGAGCCCAAACTAGCACAACCTAGAGAACCTACTTCGAGGACTCGGACATTGCAAACAACAACAACAAGAAGTAACCATCTGTCACAGCCCCGTGTTGCCCAAGCAGATGCCCACCCGCACTGTTAAAGCCACGAACCCCTTCCGTGAATAAATGTGTGTATGAACCTTTTGTCATGATATGGTACATCTTGCGTTCTGTAAGTTGGTTGTTGTGCATTCCCACTGCTCGTCGAAGCGGTCTTCATGACATTTTTGGTTCCGAATGTTTCGCACATCTCTGGTGCGGTCTACTCGCGAAGGTGACCATATGCACGCCTTATCAATGGCCGCGCGACATGCCCGCATCGGCACTGTGATCGATGACCGCAGGGGGGACCACGTCTATGGCAGGTACCGGCGCCGGCGTTGGCATTGGCACCTCGCTGGATAAGAATAGAGGCTGTAAATAGAAGTGTCTTGGATGTAATACGACGACGATGATCACAGCATCATCATCACCGGGTCGTCATCATCGCCAGGAAAGTGACCATGTAAGACTCTCGTCACGATCATATCTAGCATTAAGAGTCTTCTCTCCCCAAACGCAATCATCGATATCATGATTGCATACGTACTTAAAGTCAACCAGTTCGCATTGATGAATTTGAAGTAATGACTACAAGCAGCAAGCCTTCAGGGTTGAGGGTAGCTGCATGTAGCTACGGTTGCGCTTGCCCTTGGCACAACAATTTCTACTCTTCCTGAGAGAAGCGGGTGAAAGTTAGATAATGATAATCTTCACCAGTGACGACGAGGCACTGATGCCGCCGGCGGTGAGGCCGCTGTCGAAGTTGCTGGTGCCGACGGCATGGCTGCTGCCGGAGTTCCGGGCTCGCTGCCCTCGTGGTCCAGCAGTTTCCGCGCCTGGATTTGGGTTCAGGGCTTGGGGTTTGAGGTAGGGGGTTCACGTTACCTGAGATACGTCGTTGAAGGGATGAATGCTAAGGTCAAGGTGTAGAGTAGAGAGTTGAACACTCGCGAGCTGCATTCCTGTCGCAGCCACCATGAGCCAAAATCTCAAGTCCAAGCAATTCCCCACAAATCTGGTAAGTATAACAAATCTAAATACTGCAGCACCCCCCTAAACCCGAAGCAACAGCACAACAACCCGTGGTGCTTGAAATTGCCGCTACTGCAACCGCCGCACTGTGATCATGCGGGGATTCTAGAGAACAAGGGACCCCCAAATACAAACCCGAAGAATGGGATCCTGGTTGCCAGACCTTTAACCTGAAACTTCTAAACCCTAAACCCTCAAATTCTGAAACCCCATTAGGCTTCCCCACCAGCTCGTGGATTGCCACGTTGTTGACGTGGTGTATCACTGCGACATGCCCTCGGTCTACCCGGGTCTGGAGCTTATGTAGGGTTTCAGGCTTCGGAATCGTTGTTTTTGCTGGCCCTTTTCTTTCAGCTGAGGAAGCCTCTATAGGGCTTTGTTTGGGCACTGCGAGTTTGTGGCGGGGACTCTCAAGTATGGCCTCAGCAAACGAAAAGGGACAATGACACGCTCACGGTTCATCAGGAACCCGAACTTACCGCGAATCTCATGATCCTCCTCTCGCCTCTGCTTGACAAGTCAGAGTGCCCGAAGTGCCTGCTGTGAGTTCAGTTTGACAACAACTACTACTAGCACCACTGACATACGTTATCACTGCTTTCATTCGTCGAGTACTGCGGCCTACCCAAGACTCGCAGCCCCGGGGTGCAATCAACTCAGGTCAAGGCTTCCATCGTAGAACTTCCTGCCTGAGTTGCAGAGAAGGGCTGAGAATTCAGTGTTTGCGTGTTTCGGCTTGAATGTGCTGAGGCCTGTATTGCAAGTCTTCTTGGAACATGTCACTGCTAGTCCTGCACTGCGGGCACATCGAGTCGGAGGGTGCGTACTAGGGTTCATCAATTTGGTTGAAGAAAGCCCATGAAACCCTGAGAGTAAAATGAAACAAAACTCTCTTGCAAAAGCTTCAAGCCCCTCACCTATCACACTGAAGCCCAAAGTCTGAAGATCGAAAGCTGAGACCTTGCAACCCGTTATCCTGCACCCTAAAGTCCTAATAGTAATAGTAATATTAGTAGTAATACTAATTGTAATACTAATTGTAATACTAATAGTAATACTAATAGTGATACTAATAGTAATAGTAATACTAGGAGCAGGCGACTGCGCGGTCAAGGGGCAGTTCTTCACCACAGCCTCGTTGCGATGATTGGCACAGTAATTCGTCACCGTCGCCTCGTCGGCTCTTTCATACGCACTTCGGGTTAAGGGCCGCCTTTGTATTGGGTTTACGGTTTAGGATTGCAGTGCTCTTGCTCTCATGCTCTCCTTACCAACATAACAGAGATCCTTGTGTCAAAGGTCTCTTCCACAATCGTCTCGAGCCCTAAACATCAGCCCCTCGAGCCTAATCCCGAATCCTCTATCTACCCTAAGCTCGAAGTTCCTGGGCCAGGAAGTTCTGCTGGGGCTTCGCACAGATGCAGCGGCTTAGGGTTTGAGCTTGAGGCTGTTGGGGCGGGGCCTCTCTGGGGGTCCTCCGAACCAGGCTACCCTCAACTCGAACGCAAAGTCAAGCTCCCATGGCTCTTTTCGTCTTTCGGATTTCCAGGTTTGGCGGACATGCGACAGACAGGGGATGAAAGGTGCTGAACCCTTTCCATTCCATCTAGAAGCATTGCCATGGAGACTAAGAGGTGATCTTGCACCAAACCGACTAGGCACAGTGCCCTTCACAATGTTGATGTAGACATGAACCGTATGCTAATAAATGAGTCCTCATAGAAAGGCGGCTTACTAATCATTACTACGGAGGCACCTACAGACGTCTGCATGACGAATTAGTCCAAAGACGAGTCCAAAGACGAAGCTACTCCACACGAACCATCGGGGACAGGAATCCGGCTGTATATGCAGCTGCGGGAAGGCGCCCCAATCCCCAAATTCCAAGCCCTACCGCCCAAGTGCCATGAAATCACTTCTTTCAAGGATCACACGGATCTTTGTTGGAGTTCAGCCCCAAAATCAAAAGTATCTCTAAAGCATTAGCTTCAATATACTTCAATGTCGTCTGGTGCCAGAAGATCCCTTTGTACCATGGCTGCTTCGTGCCGCCGAGCTGGCTGAGAACCGACATGTCTGTGTTCCGGTTTAAGGGGCTCGGGGGCGGCTAAGAGCTTGGCGTTTGGGGCTTAACGGGAGGATCTAGTCCTGAGGGTCTCTTGCGTATTGGAGAGGCTTAAGGTTAGTCCGTGTCGCATCAACTTGCAATTTAGGCAGCGAGCATCGGCTTATGACTACTCAGACCAAGCGACCCAGGTCCCAGACCCTGAACAGATTCATCAATCCCGATCCATGTAAGTTCGGTCCTACGCAGTAAACTAGGTGAGACCCTAAACCCGAACCCTGACACAGACGGTCCTAGCAAAGCTGCGATCCTGTACAAAGATCGTCGCAGCGAGCTGTAACTTCTGTTTGAAGCACGGAGCTTAAAGTGCTCCGGTTTAAGGTTTAGGGTTTACGGGTTTGGGGGTCTAAGGTTTGACATTTAGGGTTTGGAGCTTTCAGGTTTAGAGACTGGGGTCTAGGGCCTACTAGGGTTTGCAGGTTTCGGATGTGCGGTTCAGGGTATAGGGCGCAGGCTTTATGGCCTGGGGTTTCTTAAGGGTTTCCTGCTGGGGGTCTCAGTGGCTGCTGCCCTTGCAACTTCCATTGCCACTGTTTTCGCACCAATGTTAATTACCATTGCTGCTTCTGCTGCTCATGCCCTTAGGCAGCTGGGTTCTGCTGACAGACACATGCAAACGTGTGCAAGGAACGATGTAAGCACAGCTCCAGTGATGCCGGCCAGGTGCTACGACGTACTTTGTCGATCCTTGTCGGAGGGCCCAAGGTTGTGGCTTTGCTGCAGAATCGCCATCGCTCGAAATGAATGCTATCGCAGACCCTGAACCCCTTTACTTTAAGGTAGAAGTCCGTGCTGGTCACTGTGCTGAGCTCACATTCTACCGAAGGCATCGCCGCCTCTGGCGTCGACGTCAGCGTATCCAAGACGCTCGGGTTCAAAACCATTGAAGTCGTGGCCTAGCTTGCCCGCGAAAGTCCTGAATTCTGCAATCCCATGCTCCAGCTCTGAAACCTCAATAGTTGTTTATCCGGGAGGCTTCAGGTGCTCCGGTTACTTCTAACTCAATCTAGTGAAACCTGCCTTCGACTCCGTTGAACATAAAGACTTTGCAAAAACTTCTGATGCGAAGCCGCTGCTGCTACCCTGCAAAGGGCCCGAGTGAGCCCACTCTCAGAGCGTGCGGAGGGTGCGCAGGGGCTCGCGGGCCTGCAGGGCTTCTGGAGATGTGGGGCTTTCTCAAACTGAGGGATCCCTACTTTAGCAAAGCGTTTTGAGCCGACAGGTGGGAAGAACAGAAGTAAAAACAGACTAGACTGGACAAGAATAGACGAGCATAGAATAAAATAGAACAGAAGAGAATTGAACAGAACAGAATAGAATGGAATAGACTATAGAACAGACTTGACTATAGCTCAAAGAATGCAATGTAGTATTACATCATACAGTGTGTTTAGGGCTTGGGTGAAGTTGGACACCCAAGCGGCCGGATGCCGGGCTTTTCAAGGTCTGAAGCATTGAGGGCTCGGGGTATTTCGCGTTTAGGGTTTAGGGTTTTAGAAGTGTAAGGGTGGTTTTGAGGGCATCTGGGCCTTGAGGGGCTCAAGAAAGCAATGAGCAGTAAGCTTTCTCACGAAACTAGGCGCGTTGTCACTTCAACACGTGGAGTGGGATCCGTATATACTGCGATTCCTCTTTCCTGCGTCTCAATTGGCCTCCCTCGGGGTCGATGTGCCCCTTGAGCGTATCTGTTTGAATAGGATGTGGCAGCAAATGGCTCTAAAGAGCATGGTGATCCATAGCCTAACGATGCGGAGCTTCAATTGAATTGTCGGATTTCGTTCTCACCCAACTTGGAAGATCACCCCACCTTCGGTCGGTGCGATGTCCCGACCGCTGTTGGCGATTTCGGAGCTATTGCCTGCTCAGGCTGGGGGTTTGGTTGTTGGGGCTTCGCTTGGTGTGTTCAGGAGTTCTGGGTTCAAGTCTCCAGTATAGAGTCCTTCGGAATTAGAACTAAGTTTTGGCGTAGATTGTGCAGATCATCCAGGTCCCTGTATTAGGGCCATTAGGGATGCAGAGAAAAGACCCCTTGTCTCTCATATTTTGGAAGTATCTCAGGGTGTTGAGCATTGAGTGTATTCACTCAGAGTTTGTCAGCCCTCCGTTTGAGGGCAGTGAGCCTGAAGGGGGAAGGTGCGAACAAACTAAAAGCTCTAGCCGCCCCTCAACATGCACAGCCCTCCAACGCCCAAATTCTGTGCTCGTCTGCCATGACCCTACTGCAGGAACTTGACTAACAAAGCCCTAGCTCGGCCTCCTCAACATTCTAGGATCCATAATCACGGCCTGGTAAGACACTTCGGGATTGTGGGCCAGGCGAGGGTAGAGAGCGAGACAGAGAGAGACAGAGAGAGAGAGAGAGAGAGAGTCCCATGAGCCGAAAGCACGTTCACCTCTCTGGTGCTCTCGCCATGATATCCAGCGGCCGGCAGCCCAACGGGCCCCACCTCCTGGTGGTGGTTTGCTTAAATAAACTTAGGAGGACACTGGTTTGGCGGGGGTCCTACCATTTAGAAACTTGTTGGGCACATGCCTTTAGGCACTGCTTCCCCGATTCACTGCTTCCCCGAGTCTTTGTGATGACTGTCTTGCTAGTGCTTAATCCATCTCCGTCATGAACCCTAACCCCTCATACCTAAACCCGACTTCCCACTACACCCTACTAAACCCACACCTTCGTAAAAGCTGCACTCCCATGAGCCCTAAACCGTAGTAAACCCTACCCGGACCCCAAACATCAATGAATCCCGAACTTTATTGAAGCCTACACCCCTTCAAACCGGAATCCTAAGACATGCGGAAACCTGATAAATCCTACACCCAAAGCAACCCTAGACCCCCAAGTGGTAAACCCTGACAAGCCTGACATCCCTGTGAACCCTACACCCCGAAAAGCCTTACCGAAATAAACACTAAACTAAACGTCAATGAGCTTTACACCCTACTACTAGACGCTTCATCTTACCAGCCATAAACCCCCAACCAAAATATGCTGTGCAACTAGTCCCACATTGTAGTCAAGCATGCTGCGGGTCCTCCGCAGATACATGAAAGAATACATGAAACAGTGCTTGCGAGTCTTCCCAACATTATCAACCATGTTCCTTGGAAGTGTCACATGCATAGTCAAGCAACTCAGGCAGAGGCCAGAACTTCCCTAGAACGTAAACCCTAAACCTTAGACTCCTTTGACCCTATCGTTTAGAGTTTAGGATTTACCCTTAACCCTAAACCCTAAAGGGACCTCGAACCCTGAACCCTGAAGCCCTGCACTAAACCCTAAACCCTGAACCGGGATTGAACCTCGAGCGGGCTTGCGTCTGCTAACCCGCAGAGCGCATTGCCCTCGGGATGTTGCAGTGCTACCTGCTCGGTTAAGGATCCGCCCATGGGGCTTTGGTTTCAGGGGTTTGGGGCTGCGGTGGCGTTGTTCGAATATCGGCGTTCAGAGCCACCAGCACTGAATTGAGGTCCCATTGTCAGAAGGCCTGCTGCAATCTAGTTGCAAGATTTTGTCTGGGATGAAGCTGCGATTGGAAATTGCTTGGCACAGTGAGTAAACAGGCAGACAGGAAGAGGGTTTGTGTGCAGAGACCCCAGGACCCGGAGCCTCTAATTAATGCCAGGCAAGAATCCACAAGACAGGTCCCATGTTACATGTCTCCCACTTGTCCTACCCACTGGGAACACCCTAAACCTTTAACCCTACCTTGAACTGCCAAAACCATTCTTGTTGTGGGTTCCGGTTCTTATTAGAAGCCCTAGTATGGAAACTATAAGGATCCTACAAAATAATAGGTTTTGGTAGTTCAAGGTAAGCCCTAAGGAACACTCCTTTCAGGAAACCCTCACCTCTCAAGCTCCCTGGCCGGCTTCGACAAAGCAGCGCCCTCCCCTTGAATCTCCTGGGCTCCTCCTTAACCCGAAGCCCGTGCTAAGTCCCAGGCCACACAACTATAATTGCCTGATCGGAATGAGGCTCTTGGGTTCGCTAGAGCTTAGAGTATGATTTTACAGGATCTAATACACGAAAGTACGACGGACACATTCAGACCACCCAGCCTTCCTCTGGCGTTGCACTGTCCGCCGCGGGTCCCCATGGAAGCGCCTATAGAGACCTCGAAGATCCGGAGCCAAAGAGTAGATGCGACTGTTGTTGCTCCTGCTGCCTATTCCATCCGCACTTTGAGGGCTTAAGGTTTGCGGCTTTGGGTTTGTGGCTTAGGACTTCGGCTGAGAGCGTTTAGGGTTCAGTGTTTGGGGCTTAGGGACTTGGGGTGGAGGTCTGTAGTTGGCCTGTCTTTCCGTTTCCTTTCTGGATCGAGAGGCGGCCGATGACTCCATGGAAGCGGATCTCACTGGGTCTCAGTTGAAGCGCCGCCAGGAAACTCCTTCACAGGTTCAGGGTTTAGGGTTGAAGAGTGCTGATCTTGGGCACAGGATTTACGAGGCACACGATGTGAACTTTAGGGGGTCTTGAGAGAGCCGCTCATGCACCAAAGGGTTCCTGGGTAGTCAAGATCACGTGCTCAGGCTCAGAAGTTTCTCTGACCACAAATGACTTAGCTACTCTGCCTGTGCCCCTACTTATCCTCGAAAGCAGGAAGGCTCTATGCCTTTGTGTCGATGCTCCAGGGGGGTCCCAAGGCTGGCTACCGGTTCAGGCGCCAAGGAGCTGGTGGTGTTCTTCTTGTTACTGCTGCCGATCCTCCGACTACTGCTGCTACTCGTAGTACCTAGCACCAAGCTCTGCTTCCCCAAAAAACAACAACAACGATTGAGTAGGCACGCCCACCAAGCAAAGGAAGAGGTCGGGCCCTCTCCTCTCCGCCCCCGCAAGGTCGCCCTGACCCAGTAGTGCCCATCCCAGGCCATGGTGGGCGTCAGCACTATCAGGGTTCAACCACAGCGCCTTAGTGCCGTGCAAAGCAGAGATCCAACTGCGTGAAACAAAAATCGGGCGTGCTGAATGCCTCAATGCATGCCGAAGCCAACATCAACCACAGTAGGGGAGTCTGAACTGCCAGCCTGGGAAATCGACATCTGCTGACGGCTTGCGATCAACAGCACGCTTCCTTAAACGAGTTGTGTTTAAGACCCAAATCAGAAACTCCTAAACGCCCCTCAAGTTTCCAAAAAAAAACTCCAACCCCAGACCATAAATCCCCAAACCCTGAAGCTCTGAACGCCAACCCCCCCTCCAGCCCGAAATTGATCACCTTTACATTACGACCTGTTCTAGCCCCTCACAACAGGCTGGGCCTATGAACGCCTTAGAAGACCTCAGTTGCCCATCCGAGGCCCGATGCCCACAACAGCCAAAAAGAGTAATGACAACACCACTGCTACCACAACGACGACGACTACTTCTAGTATGAAAAACAATATGAAGAGACATAGCCGTAATCATCACAGTGACAATGACGCCAAGAATCATAATTGCATACGTGACAACAGTAATAACATGCATCGTGATGATAATATGTAATCATGATCAGAATAATGGCAACTAACGAGAATGATGGAAATTCGTAAACAGAACTAAGCATGACAATGACGACAATAAGAAAACCTTGAACCCTAAAACCCTAAACCCTAAAAACCCTAAACCCTAAAACCCTAAACCCTTATACCTAAACCCTAAAACCCTAAACCCTAAACCCCCAATCCCAGGGGCACCTCGCGGAAGTCGCTCTCGGCGCCTACCGGCTCGTCTTGCTCAAGCTTCGCCGCGCCCTGCTGGTAAAAGTGCCAGGCCTCCTCTTGCGGTGTCATTACAAGGGGCTTAAAATATCAGGGATCTATAAGGGTACTATAATATATATAGGGGCCTTAATAATCCTATATCTTACCTTTGGTTGGTAGGGAATGGAGGAATGGGGCACAATTATAACTACCATTACTACCATTCTTCCATTCCCTACTAACCAAAGGTAAGTACAGGGGGCTTGAAGCTTTATGGGGTTGAGTATGAGGGCCTTCTTATTCAGAAAAAGGTGGCAGGGGCATGTAAGATTCTAGTGCTGTAGGGACTGTGAGGGTAGATTACTACTACCACTCGCTTGTATACTAAGTCGCTGTAAGTGCAATCTTCGCGTACCCTGCTTGCCCTGTTCCGCTCCCGTCTGGAACTGGCTGCCAAGACCACAAAGTTTGGCCTTCCTACTTGCTGCCCTCCTTGAGAGGGATCCGTGAAGCTGAAGAAGCACCAACAGACAACACCCAAGCCCGAAACCCCAAGACATCGGGATTGAAACAGGATGTCACCGGAAAAAATGCCACCACGCATGCAGGAAGTGGCACACTCAAGCCGCTCACGATTCCAAAGACATTCCCTTTCAGACTAATGACCCACACTTCAAGGATCAGGGACCTGCTAGGTGGGGTTATAAGTAATGTTGGGGTGTGCAAGTCATCATATATACGTTTTGTTAACTTTTAAACACGACCCACTAAGCCCGTGCTCAGTTTTTGTAAACCCTGCGGAAGAGTCTTTGAGCACTGGGCCTCTGCCCGCTTCGCCGCAGCATCTCGCACGTCCCGCGCCATTCTCTGATTTAGCCAGTGGGGCGCTGCGGGGGCAGCGACTTGAGGACGGACGCTAGCTGCGGAAGAGGAATTTCGGGCCGTGGGGCTTCATGGTTCAGGGTGCGCAGAGTCCAACCCAAACGACCACTGCACGAAATCTACTGTGACCAGGACTTCTAGCTCCGTTTGTTACAGTTACGCACACTTTGCACAACAGTGCAGAACGTTAGATCTAATCAACATGAACAGAAGTTCCGACCCAAACAGTTGGGGTCAACCGTGCAAAGGCAAAAGGCAAGAGTCTACAGTGTATTTAGGGTTTAAGGTCCAGGATTCAGCTACTCTTCTAGCAGTCTTGCATAAAACAGCTGATGGCAAGGTTCCCTTGTGAACGACTCTCACAGAAACACACTGCTCAGTAGTCTTGCGACTTTCAGAAGCATTGCCACTTGCTCCGAATGCCGCTGCACATGCTCCCTGATGGCTGAGCGTTCGGGTCCGGAGGTTTAGCCTGAGCATTTCACCGTGAGGTGCAAGGAGCGCCAGGCACAAAGTTCCCTGTGTGCACGCTAGTTCAATTTTAGAACTCGAGATTTGGGGTGTGGGAGAGGGGGGGCTTCCCTGGCCAGAGACCGACGCCGGACGCCCAACAGCACTTATTCTTTCGTCCTAGAACCACCCCCTCCGCAGTACAAAATGCTGAGAATGATGTAACTTTCACCATACATTTAAAGGTACTGAAGAGTTGATCGCTGCAAGAGTGCTAGCACGTACGATGCCCATCAGATACGAACCAGGGCTTATAACCACACATACCAACAAACCAAATAGAGAGTAATGCCACAGACCTTTGAGCATTCGACGCCATGTTCGCATCCAATCTAAAGTCAACACACTTCAACCATCAGACTCTGAACTCAAAACCCGTAAAGACCACACTCCTCGAGCTCGAACCCCTGAGCAACCCTAAACCCTAATCATCAGCTCGAAAGCCGCGCCTCATCCATGTTCTCCATCTCCGCCAAGACTCTGATAGCACTCAGCTCGCCTGGACCGGCTTTCGGGTGGTGCCAAGGTTGAAAGGTTTAGGGTTTTGGGTTTAGGAGTTGGGGTTCGGGAATTAGGATTCAGAGTTGAGGTCCTCTTTGGCGCTTAAGATTTTAGCGCGCGGCTTAGAGTTTCAGAATTTAGCCTCTCTCTCCATCAACCCAGCGAGAGCTCTCAACGCCCCAACCCTGAAGATGTCCTCCAAGCCCTGCCTTCCTTCGACTCTCCACCCCAGGGGTTCTGCTGCATTTCCCAGCATCCCAGGGTGAGATCCTGCCAAGAATGTGGAGGCAGTCGGGGGGAGGGGGTAGCGAACATGAGAATCCCAGCGATTCAAGGTCGATATTCAAAATCTCTGGCTGTTTTCATGCTAAGCTCCTTGTATAAGCCCTTAAACACACGTAGGTTGTTAGGAGCTCAAGACACGTTCAACTCAGCTGCGTTGAAGGCCCACTGAAGCTGCAACAGTAGAAAACGTACTCATCATCGTAGATTCAAGGGTTTTGATGACTAGAATACGGGCTTGGAAATGTTTTGAGTGGGCTGATACTATACTTTTATTAAGAACCCAGGCTTCTTTATTCTGCGCTAAACCCCAAACCCATGCGATAACAGGTCCTTGCCCTTGTACTTTGCCGGGTGCCCGCAACCGGGATCCCCCAGTGTGGTAACTTTGACCTTCGCACGCTTCGGCAGCACATCCCAGGCCTCAAGGATCGGGCTTCATGGCTTTAGGGTTTAAGGCTTCATGGGTCGAAAGTTTAGGGTTTAGGGTTAGGGCTTCATGGGTTTAGGGTTTAGGATTTAAGGCTTCATGGGTCGAAAGTTTAGGGTTTAGGGTTAGGGCTTCATGGGTTTAGGGCTTAAGGCTTCATGGGTCGAGGGTTTAGGGTTTAGGCCTTCTTGGGTTTAGCGATCTAGGATTTGAATTTTTTTAGGGCGCGTGTGCAAAGAGCCTCTGGAGCCAGCTCTGCCAGATTGCTGCGGAGGAATACTGCTTCGGATTTGGGCTTCAGGCGAAGCCCCAACCCCTAAACAGTGGCCCTGAACCCTACACCCCTAAACAGTAAACCCCAAACCCCAAATGCCGGGTGCAGGGCATCGTGTCCGACCACTCAGGCGCTGACCAGCGCAGGGTAGATGATGTCTTGGGAGCAGGAGTGCGGCCACTCTGATTTGCCCTTCATGAACCTGAAAGCCGCTGACAAAAGGACCTTCATCATCTTGGACTTCTGGGACATACTTTTTCGTAACTAGACAAGGGCTGTAAGGGTTGCTTTCTCAATTGTTCCGAGCCAGCTAAACCGCGAAACCGAGCCATCACATGGTGAAGTTCCCTTGTGAAGTACTAGTACCGTGTAAGTCCGGAGGTACGCTTCCACTTCCACATCCGACCTTACCTAGCACTCTCACACATTCAAAGCCCTGCCCTACCTGCCTTAAAACGCCAAGGATTGATTCAAATATTGGAACATGGGGTCAATCTGTGAAGAATCAGGATTCTCGGTTGAGCTTGTGCGACTTGCTTTGTAATTCTGGCATGGGGTAGACATGTGTTGCTGCATACATTGGTGAAAATGCATATGGTATACATGCATGCATGCATACCTACATACCACATACCTACATACCTGCCTACCTACCGAGACACTACATACACACTCTCTTATGTACATAGGCACATACATACATGCATACATACTTACATACAGGAAGCATGCAGGCATACTTGCATGCATACACATGTGCATGTATTCATTCGTACCTACCTGCCCTTCCACGAACATACGTACAGACAGACGCACGCACACAACGCCAAGCACCACATCCCAGGGCAGACAGGGCTATGCCTAAGCTTTGCTTCCGGGTGCATTGCTGAAGGAATAGTTATTCCTTACACTAGACTTGCACAAGCGTTTGATCCTTACTACTTTCAGCGGATATTGACCTTTCTGGGTTTCGGGGGTGTCCTTGGGGAAGACAGAGTCCTTTCAGGGCTGGGCTCCTCGTATCATGCTTGCAAACCAACTCTTAGGGTTGCCGGGTTGAGGTTCAAGGTTTAGGGTTTGGGGCTAACGGTTGGTATGTTGGGCTTTGGACTTTGAGTTTGGCATCATAGCATGGGTAGAGTTGTGGCAAAAACCCTTGCGGAGCGAAACCCAAACGGGACCAAGAGGAAGCCCAACAAACTCCGAGTTTTGAATTCAATTAGGCATTCTAACTACATGCCGAGGCTCTGATCTCTAAACGCTGAACACCTAAACTCTAGAGCCCTTAGTTAAGGCAGCGACAGCGGGCAGCCCACAGCAGCGACTTCGTCTTTCACCGTAGAGCTGCTGGATGCTGTTTGGCCTTCACCAGCGGGCCCAAAGCTGGGGGCCTTGTGGGGTTTAGGGTTTAGGGGTTTAGGGTGGATTTAGGGGCTTTTTGGGGTTCAGAGTGCCGGCTTTGGGGTCTATGTGGGATCTGATATCGGCTGCTACAGAAAGCATGGACGGAAGATGCTATTCAAGCCACTGAACGGGATGCGAAAAGTCCTTGCTTCATGAGGGTCTTTTGTATGATTGACTTCCTTTTCCTCCGGACACCTATGTCTTCACTTGTCGGGGCATGCGCGGCTGAGGGCCCTAAAGTCCCAACTGAGCACCGTAGATCTTAGACTACAGCGACTGTTCCTCAGGGATAGAACATCGTGTAATTCCTTATTATAGGTCAAATTACGTAGTGTTAGCTTTTAACAATGTCTTTCAACCTTCAAGGCGTGCCCGATACCATCAGCCTCTCGCCTCATCACTTCGTCTTGAAACCATCGGGTTTAAGTTCATACGAGAACAGGACTGCCCGGATGCGCAAACCCTAGCCCTATCCTAAACCCGAAAGCCTTGCTAAACTACAAAACCCTGAACCCTAAACATTCAACTTCGCATCTGCACTTGAGTGGAGCACTTTGTGGTCTAATGACACCCCGGTAGCCTTCCTCTATGCGGAAGCCAGTGATTTGGGACTAGTGTCATAGATGGCCCTAGGCCGGAACCCTAGGCACACCACCCCCAAAAATGCCAACAAGCCGAAAATGGATCCCTTCTGGTCGGATGAAACTTACTCGGCCAGATCCGGCCTAAGCTATCCCAGTGCTTGAGCAACTCCTTCAGCATCCTCCGATTGAAGACCTTGGGCTGCAAGCAAAGACCAAAGGCGGGGGGGGGGGGGTCCGAGTATAATTAGTGGGGATCCCCCAGAATATAGGTAATTATTATGGCCCTGATTTCCGATACGACTTAGGGCCTTAATCACACGGCTCGGGTTGAATGTTTAAGCTGCTTCCTTATGAGGTTGAACAAGACGAATGCTTGAAGCATGCATGGACTCCCAGGCCAGGGCGGTCAGGGCCGTGACTGATGTTGCCAAAGCCACTAAACTCATTGCTTCGATTCATGAAAGGAGGGGCAATGCCATCATGACCATCATAAGCGACATTGTGCAGGACCTTCCGCGATGCATGAGATTTCACAGGTGCTGTTGCTGGCCTGCAGGTTCGGGATGCCAGCGTGCTCTGCTTTGGCCTTTAATTAAGTCCAGTGATTCTGGCCGGAGCTTGTGCACCATCAGGGGAAGAACCTAAGTGCATAGGTGCCGAAGCAGCAATGAGCTCCTGAACAGAGAAACTCTGAAACCCTAAACCCTGACAGCCTCTAAACGCTGACCTCTAAACTCTAAAGCTATAACATGTTCATCCCGTTCAATAATAAAGACCCCATACCGCAAAAACTATCAGAAGCCATGTCATGTAGGTGGTTGTCAAGATTATGGTCCCTTTTTGCGTACCCTAAGTAATAGGTGCCGTATTATATTAGGGACCCCAACTTTGACAACCACCCATACAGTATCTGAACCATAAGCCCTTCCAGGGTAATTACATGATCCGACGGGGACCCCACGAAAGCGTTGCCCCACATCAGGACGATGGGCACATCGTCCCCCGCCTTCGAAGGGCCACGGGAGCTTCGGAGAATGCTTTCTGACACTCTGATATGGGAGTTTCCGAAAACAGGGGACCCTAATGTAGTACCCTGAATAGTAGGACGCTTATTGTGAGGACCCTCAAATAAGGTACCCCTAATCTTCGGAAACTCCCATATGTTGGAAGAGCCAAAACCCTGAACCTTCAACCCTACCCCCTAAATCGCAGCTCAGACTTGCCTGTTGTCCCCAAGTTCAACAAGTGTTTGGTCGTGAGGGGGATCCTGCTTCGTTCAGCAGACTTCAGGGAGGTGGGGCGTCGAGGCTCAGCGTAAGCCGAAGATCAGCTCCACATCTCTGCGTCCATGTGTACAGGCGGCGACATGACAGGTAAGACGGTTTAGGGTTTAGGGTTTAGGGTAAACCCTAAACCCTAAACCATACGAAGACGTAAACATAGAGGCCGTGTGCTATAGGATGACTGCACGAAAGAAGGGCCTGTACGCCGAAGTAACTGACCCTTCGCACTCCTACCGACCCAACACGCTCGAATCTGAATCCGATCGTCACGGACCTACCCCCCCAAGCCACCGAAACCAAAAACCGAAATCTAACCACCCTGATCCATGCTTGACCTGAACCTGACTCCGAAATCCACGCCCCCCGAAATCCGAAAGTCCAAAAGCCGACACGTAGCACCTAAACCCGAAATCCTCAACAACCCCCCTAAACCCGAAAACCCTACACCCCTAAACCCCTAAGCCCTACGAATCCGCCTGCGCCACCTCCATGTACTGAGCGATGTTCTTCCGGGCCCTCGCCTTGGTCCGCAAGCAGAGAAAGCCACCTCTCCCCGAAGATAACGTAAAGCATCGCAGAAGGAGAGAGTGAGCTAGAACAGTATAGTATAGTATTGGTAACAGTCGTATGGTAATAGTATAGTAAATAGTATAGCAATAGTACAGTAATCGTCTAGTATAGTAAGGTGTCGTATAGTATAGTATATAATGTTGAAGCTTCTAGAAAAAGGGAAAAAGGGGTACTGTACCTTGCAGCGTGTCTGTGATTTTGGGGGGGATGGTACTTCCACGAGAAAGTGCCTCATGAAGCTGCAGCTGAAGCAGTGAAGTTCTGAGAAGGACACTGGGCTCAGGAAGTGATCCAGCTCGCTGTTGATGAACCAGTCGTGGGCATCAACGAAGCTGGAGCCTCAGTAGGCTGAGGTTTACTCGCCTAGGTGGGGCTTTCAGAGCCTTTGAAAAATACTAGTAAATAAAATCCTCTTAAGCCCAATAAGGGAAAATATAAAATGTCCCAAAGCCCTACCTAGTCGGAGTTTATAGTTTATAGGTTCTCTCGGATGTAGCGGTGAAGTATCCACTGGGCTCACTCGAAACAGAATGCCACCATCCTGAGACCCTAAGCCGAAACCCTACAGGCCTACCGACAGCAGAAGCAACACATCTACATACGCAAGAACTATACATAAATACACCGGATCCTGAGGCGAACCACAACCCTTGAGCCGTAAAACCCCCAACTCCGATCTATGGCTGGAAGCCAATAGGAGGCGTGCCCTGCGTCCCCAAAACACCAAACCCTGAAAGCTATAACCCGAAACCCCAAAATCTCTGCACCTATTGAGTTTAAGAACCCCCCCCCCCTTGAGCTTGTCGCTTCTTGCTGGCCGAAGGGCTGAGAAGGTGCGACCAGGCAGGCATGAGCCCCACCATGTTCCTTCTTTTGGGGTTTTGGGGTTTTGGGTGTAGGGTTGAGGGCTTAGGGTCTAGAGTTCGCGGTTGAGGGTTTGAGGTTGAGGATCTAGGGTTTATAGAGCAGAACTCACGAGCCTAAGTCCTCGAACTCTGAATCTTTACTATTTAGTTACTCCCTGAAGCTGAGACGGAAGATCCTGAACCGCCGAAGCCAGGCCGGGTCCTATGGTAGAGCCAGCCCTTGTCGTTTCGGGAAACTTTCTGCGCAGGCAGCTCCACGCGCACGAAGTCGGGATCCTCAAGGCATCGCAGATGCGCACCACAGGGATATATCATATATATATATATATATATATATCGATGGCAGCAATACCGAAACTAACAAGACCAGGTCAAGGGTTCAGGCTTTTGGATCTTGGTTTGAGGGCCGAGGAAGGGCTTACAGTGTAGGATTTAGATTTTAAGGCTTTTGGTTTTGGGCTTAGGTTTGGGGCTCAAGCCTTATGGTTTGGGGCTTAGGCTTTAGTTCTTAGGGCCTTAGGGTCGTGACGTGCCACGACTTATGCTCTCCAGAAATGACCATGCTGGGCTTGAGAAGGTTGTGAAAGTATTGGCCGAACTTTCAGCAATTCAGAGGGATCAGTTAGGCTTGAAAAAAAAACACAACCACGGGCACGCCTGGCCATGAAACTTTGAGTTTCAAGTGTTGCTGCTGCTAGGTGGCGCGAACCAACTTCTCAAAACTTGGAAGGGGCTTCGTTGCTTTCGGTTCTGCAGACCTAAACTCTAACCTAGAAGCTCAACAACCACAACTGCGTCATTTTCCTCCCAAGTAAAAATCACTGCAAAACTCGATGCAGAGCCCCATCACTTACATGCTCTACATGCTCAAGCCCCCAGATCCTTCACAGCTAAACTCTCCCACCGGCCTCGTCCCCACCACTTTCTTTGTCGGTGTAGAACACATGCCCATCGCATTTTGCGTATCTCGGGTTCGAATCCGGTTTAAGTTCAGTGCTAATGGCTGAGCCTTTTGTTACGAAAGGGTCAGTGGTTGCTTCGGGAAAGGGAAATGACTTGTTCATGATAGTAGTAAGAGTAGTAGTCGAAACATTAGGAATGATCGTCATGGCAGCAATCAAAACCATTCTAGTAATCGTATGAGGAATTATATGGTACTGTAGCCAGGAATATGACCATAAGCTCCAAGATTTGATTGAGCAGCTGTTTCCGCACTTCTGTCAGCAGCTGCTCGTCGTAGCCACGACGTGGGGTCCTGGAGGCAGGTCAGCATTGTGGCAGAGGCTCTTGCTGTCGAAGCTTAGGGTTTCCGGGATATGGTGTTCAAGGAGGCGGAGAAGCAAAGGTCTTCAGAAAAAAAAAAACTTCGAGGCTACAGATTGCTCTAAGTGGTAGCTCCCTATGGGCGTTGCAAAGTCGTTCTCTGAGTCGTTTGGAGTGTTGACTTTGCATTCAGCGGCGCTTCATCTGACGCAAAAGGCTCTTGGAAGGTCATGGGAGCTTGCGTTTGGTGTCTTGAGAATATGCCTCTTTGGTGCTATCCTTTTGGGAGCACGAGGTCCCGCAACCCAAACCCTAAACCCCAGACCCGAATCCCAAACAATACGACGCCAGGCCCCAACGACCAAAAATTCCCAAGCCTAAGTCCTTCCAAAAGCCCCTTAGAATCTATAATATAACCTCATATAATATAATAGATTACAATATATAATATGATATATTACAATATAATCTAGTAGAATATAATATATGTATGTATCCCCTATAACAGGAAGACCCCAAAGCCCCAAACTGAAAGGATGGTCCAGGCGAAGCAAAACAACGACAGACCGTCGTTGCGGCGCTCCTGAAAAAGGCTTTAGGGTTTAGGCTTTAGGCTTTAAGGTTTAGGGTTTAGGGTTTAGGGTTTAGGGTTTAGGGTTTAGGGTTTAGGGGTTTAGGGGTTTAGGGGTTTAGGGGTTCTCTGGGATTTGGGATTAAGAATTGCTAACTGGGTTTAGGATGTGCTGAGCTGAAATTCAACGGCCCCTCCGGAAATCATTAATCATCCCAACTTGCCACCTGGGTTACGGACTTCGTGCACAAAGCTCTTCTTCTGGAGGTTGACTTTTCCACGGCCCCATAATACCCCTTTGAAGGAACCCTTATAACACCCTTTCCTTTCTACGATTCTACGTCTATGCAGAGCGTAGAGCCCGGGAGCATCCGAGATCCCATCCATGCTTGGCTTAAGCAATCTTCGGGCATTGATTGGGGGTTTACCTTGACCCTGAATAACCCACCTTTTTAAGGTTCCTTGTTATGACTTCCTTATATGAGTTCTCAGAAAGGTAGGTTCTTCGGGTTTAAGGTAGGGTGTTTCAACTCGGGTAGAAGGTTTGGCGTCAAGTAGTTTCGAAGTCACAAACATGAAGACTGCTAAACCCTCTACCTGAAAGCTGAAAAATCCCGAATACGGAAGCGTGGGACACTTATTCTGCCATATTACATAAATACAATACATACATTCTCTTAAACTACATGTCATGTTATCCTGTTACATTGTGCTAAGACTGTATTAGAATTCCTGCAGAGCCTGAATTGGAGGGCCGGGAGTGAACGCCGGAGCGGGTGCCGGCACCGGCGCGGCCATCGGTGGAGCCGGCGGTGGAGCCGTCGGTGGAGCCCTCGGCAGAGCAGTGGGAGGAGGACCTGAGTCAGGACAGGGTTAGAGGAAGAGGGAAGGGTTCTGGGTTGAGGTTTGGGCGAGTTTAAATCGAGACAACATTTCAAGCGCATCGTCCTTGGCTTTTGGTACGTTGTCAGGCAGGAAGATGCAGATCAGCACTGGCCATGAAGAAGGAAGCAAGAGGAGAAGCACTCCGGCTTGTTGGGCTTTTTGTTTAAGGTCTTTTTGAATTTTATGATGGACGCCGGAAGATGCTAACAAAATCACCCAGGCACGGTCTGGGGTGCTGGAACCCTTACCCGATACCACCGAAGCAGAAGCCGAATACTGCGAAACACCAAAGCACCTTAAAGCGGGGTACTGCCTTGCATCAAAGGCTTGTATAGCGATTGGAATAATTGAACACTGAATATCCCCCAAGGCATTTCTTGTTCTTATTGTAGCAGCTTATTGTGATATCCCGGATATCCCCAAGGCCCCATTCTAGCATTAAGGCCCTGCACTAGGAGCTCACGTCTGAAGTAGCTGGGGGTGGCTCATAGATTTTTGTTGTGTATTTGTTGGGGGAGAGGGGGGGGGGCAGATTCTACACCGTGATGGAGGGGCCGCATACCTCCACAACAGTTTATGGAATGTTCTACTATGATCAGAAGCTGGAGCTTCGAGAAGCACCTACGGAAGAGCATCACACAGAAGGGGCTGGTGGGGCTCAATCAGGGGATGCATTTTCCGAAACAGTCGTAGAAGAAAGATACATCTGCAACAGGTTGTGCATAAAGAATGCCTCCATGCTACGACCAAGTGACCGCCCTCTTCAGGGTATGGTCTATGGTGATTCGGTTTAGGGTTCAGGGTTTACGGAAGACTGCCTCTTGTGATTTGGGCGCAGGGTCTTCCCAACTCCGGAAGCTTGGCAGGCAAGCGGCTGCTGGCCACCTCGTCGCCAGATCCGAAGTAGCCGTCGAGCACGGAAACCTGCGATTTGCCGACCCTCTGCAGACTGAAGCATAAAGATGCACAGGGGTTTCGGGGTATCTGTTCAAGCGCAGAACCTCAAGCTCTACGGGCTTTTCCATCCCCGGCTTAACTGCACGTGCGTTTGTCAAATACTAGGTTTGGGATACAAGCTGGTTGCAGCCGAAGAGCAACAAGCTTAAACCACATGAAACCCGGGAAGAACCCAACCTCAGCCCCGAATGTAAACCAAACAAAGCCAAAGCAATGAACACACAGAATTCCCAAAACCAGACAAAACAAACCCCAACCACCCCCACCCCCCCTCCCCCCTCCAAAAAACAAAGCATGCAGCCCCGCCCTTGAACCCCAGAGCTCTTCGAAATTCCCAGCCCTAGGGAACCAAAAAAGCACATAAGCAAAAAGTAGGATAGGGATATCCCATATAAACTCATGAAGCCCATTAAGGTAGGGATATCCCTATAAAATGCTGATGCTTACTTGCTTTGTGGGTCTCTGAAACAAGCTCAAACCCTGAACCGTTGTGCCCCCTACGCTAACCCTGCTAGTACCCCGTAGAGTAACCCTAAACCGCCGAAACCTAAAGCCGAAATCCACAAGCCCCTAACCAGACCTCGGGCAGGAGGCTCAAGTTGGACTCGAGGAGGTCGTTGGCCTTGGATGCTCTCTAGCCATGATTCGTAGAGTATGAGACCAGAACATGGGGGGGAAGCATCGCTAGTTTAAATGGGGTTTTGGAAGGGCTTATAGATTGCGACTTTTAAGCTTCGTTCCAGTGAGCTGCGCTTGGTGAAAGCTTGTTTTGGGTGGTGTCTCAAAGGGGAAAAGGAAGGACCCTTAATGGGGACCCCTGCCCTATAATGGGCTATATAATGGGTATATAATAGCTATATTATCAATGAAGGGTATATACCTAGGGGTCCTTATTAAGGGTCCCTCCTTTTACCCTTGGAGTGTTGGGGGCGTTTCGGTTTCAAGGATTTCGACTTTGTAGGCGGAGCTTGGGGCCACTTCGGGCTTCGGGCTGCGCGCTTGTGGAATCCAGGTTGGGCTGGGCAGGTCGTCTACCTCAATCCCAGTGTAGGGTTTTGGATTTAGGGGTCTATACCGACAATCCCCAAAACCGATTAGTTTGGGTTTGCATGGGGCTCAAGCTTCAGGATTCAAGGTTTAGGGGTGAAGAAGCCTTTCGGATTGCTTGTGGGTTAGATGGGTCACGGGCAGCAAAGCAGAATTGCTGCCTTGGGATGCGTGTCTCCCAGGCCCCAAGATAATGCAGATGTGCACGGCAAGGCTCGGGTTTAGGTTTAGGGATTGTCCAGGGGATTGTAAAGGTTGCGGTTGACATTCCGGGTATGCACATCAGATGCTGACTACGCCGGTCTGTTTTTGTATGGTGCGGCAGGGCTGTATTTGCAGGGTCTAGCGCAGGCGTATGCACAAGTCAGCGCCGCTAAGGTGCGTGCAACAAAAGTGCAGATCGGATTCCGCAGGCAATACTGGACAAAAGAAGCCAGCGAAATGGGACGACCGACTGTTCCGCTTGCTGACAAAATTCTCAGAGATGCACTGGTATGAAGTAGGGATTCCTCACCATGATATCTCCATCATGGCAGTAAAGCCCAACAGATACCTTCGTAGAAACCCTAAGTTCTTCTGAGACTCCAGATGCACTCCTAAATACCCTAGAACCCTAGAGCTCTAGCACAAGCCGTACTTCATATCTGTGGCAGAAGCTGCTACCTTTGCAGGCTGAGGAACGTAGACTCAGCCGGGACATGAAAGGTCTGTAATCATGTTTGCCAACCACAGCCCAATGACCCGTTGGAGGAGACGGCGCGAAAGAGATGCACTGGGGAAAGGAAACATGGCTTACTGTAGGGTTTAGGATTCAGGGCTTATAGGGTTTAAGGTTTAGGGTGGTAGAGGTGGGTTCTGATAACTTGCATGATCCTTGGCGCACCGCCTAGAGGATCCTGACCCGTCTCCAGTTCAAGGGCCGTGAAGCTGCGACAGAAAAACAGGCAGACTGCCACGTGAATTCTGGCGTCTGTATGATCAAAGCCGAAGGACGGAGCTGTGTCGGACCGGGGTCGTAGCCCCCTTTCCTCCTATCTCAACACACCAAGTATCTGTACGCTAAGTCCCCCTAAACCCCCAAACCTTCATCCTCTGAACTCTAAACCCCCAAACACCTAGACACCTAAGCCCTGCATGTCATACTATATTTTTATGACATCCCTACAAAGAAATGCCAGTGTTCAGCCTAGACTACGGGCTATAGAACTTAGAAGGCTCAGGGTGCAGTGCAGGGACTACCTGCAGCATATTCTGTTCCCGAGTGAGACATGGTTCAGGGAAGAGTTGCTGTGCTTAGGCTTGGTTGGGGTGCCGGCCCCGCTTCGGCCCTCTGACATGCAAGACTACAAAGAGAGAAGTCTCTAATTTGACGAGCCTTGGGCCGTTGGCTCAGAGGCTTGCGCCTGTGCTCGCAAAGCTTGCATAGCCTCACGAACTCGGATCATGCTACCTTTTGCACACTTCCTTGCGGCCAAGCTTGAAACAGCAGCGAAGCTTCCTTGGCGCAGGCAGCGGAGTAGACGCCTGGGAGGAGATTTCCGAATCTCATGCAAGACCTCGGACTTCGTGGATTGCAGCTCCTTCTCGAGGATGTCGAAAAGAGCCTCTGTGCCTTGAATCTTTGCATCTCGAGCCTTTTCTTGGAGGAGCTGGAGGACAAGGTACAAGAAGTCGCCCTTCGGCATCTCATCAATCATGCGGCGCTGCATCTTGTCCATCTTCATGATGTGGCTGTGGTGGAGGTGGCAGAATTCACATCCAGCACCAGCCTCACAGCGCCTCCCAGCGGCGGTGTGAACGCATGGGCGCTGGCAAAGGTTCGGGTGCCCTACGCTGCCAACGCTGAACTCCTCGCCCCATTTCGGCGACTTCTTGGGCTCTGGCTTGGGAAGGGAGAGCACATAGCGGTGCTTCTCTAGCTCCTCCAAATCCCGGGCTTCTTTTCGGCACCCGCGGCTCGCCGGCGCACTGCGTGCTCGACCGGCATCGGGTCCGCGGAGCTCTCGCGCCCGGTCCTCCTCCTCCAGGAGCACGTCGAGGAAGGTGTAGCGGTAGGCGATCGTGGCCATCTCTACAACTTGGCCAGCTTGAACCGACGCAGGCTACTCCACGCAGCATAACATCAGTAGATGACCACGAGAAGCAAGCACCAACCGCAAAAGCAGTCGCAATACCGAAACCTACAGATAGACCATCTACAGTGCCCTCCTGCAGATACTCACTAAGACAACTTCAAAAATGTCTCATGGCCCAGAGATTCCGAAATACGCAGCAGTTCGAAGTCATGCATGGTTTTCCCCAACATGAGAAGCATGCCAAACGTACATAAAATGCTAAGCTTTCACAGCACAGCGGGCTTTGATTCTTCAGACCCTACCAGTACGCTACTGTAAGTAAGATCCTCTTTGACCGAGTAGACCGAATTCTGGACCAAGGCACCAGGATCAACATCACGGCGGTCCTGATGAAACGGAGCAACAGCAACGTGTGGGAAAATGGGATTAGGGTCTATAGGGTCTACAGGGTTCAGGGGCTTAAGGTTTAGGGCATTAGGGTTTAGGGTCTCTGGTTGCGGGGTCGGGTTTATGAGTCTATATATGAGAGCGCAACAATAACCTGAAATAGTGGAACCCTAGCTTAAGTCCTTGTTTCATTCATCAGCTTCACCATCGTCTCGGTACACACAAAACTAAAAGGATTAGGCTTCAGGGTTTGGGGTCTAGAGAACGCACAGAGGCCATTGCCAATCTAACTCTCGGGACCCGGGGAGGTAAACCCTCAATCAAGCACTCGGACGCACCGCAAGTAAGGGAGTTCCACGTTCCCTGCCGTCAGGAACTGGAAGAAGGGGTATATGATATATACAGTCAAAAAGCAGCGTGCGCATGCAAGGCACTGAAACCGAGAACCAGAACAGACAACCCTGAATCTGGCGAAGACACAACCTGCAGAGTGTAGACAATAGAAGTGTGAAGGAGCGCAGTTTGGGGATCAAACGGTGGTACACACTGTGGGATGCTAGAAATCGGGTTTAAAGAATCGGCTATCGTTCGAGCATGGCGAGACGCGAGGTTGCCTGGCACGCGGCTCCCGCTGTAGTACGGCACATAGATTTGCACTCATGTCACTCATTTACAAAGATCCCCAGGTCCATTGTAACTTCCAATGCATTGGCAACTTTTTGGCCTCGAAATCTCTGAATCCCGCCAGTGCTTGGAGAAGCGTTACTGGTCGCGCTCCTGAATCGCATCAGCGCAAGGCGTGTGTCTCTGAATCCGTCAGCAGTCGTGGTCGTCGTCGCATGTCATCGCGGTCGTCATGGCCGCGGTGACGCTCTATCAGTGTTTGGGGCTCGACGCTGGCACAGTCAACCTTCTTGAGGGAGGTGGATTTGTAAATCACAGGTCTACATTGCCAAATACTTCGAGTCTTCCTGCAGGCAAGAGACACGAGGCCCGCCAAGCCAGCAGCTGCTGCAGAGATACGCCGCATGGCACTGTGCCATCTTGCCCCCGGCTCGGCGGGTTGGGGACTTAAGGAACGGCGGGAAAAGGGTCTAAGGTCTATAGAGGGTTAGATGATTGGACTGAGGCTGCTTGCGTGTTTCTAGCATGCCCCAACCCTAGACCCTAAACTCTGGACCCTAAACTTTAGTCAAGGCTGCACCCCGAGACCCTCGACCGTGCAGTACCCGGCTCTGATGCTCTGGGGTTGGACTAGTGAGGAGGAAGGGTGGTCGCAGAGTTCGGATCACTTGGGCCAGGGCTTTGCATGACGGTCGAGATCGAGTGGTCAGGGTTTAGAAATAGAGGTATGGGAGCCCAATTGATCTTGTCTTCTGGGGAGGTGAAGCGTGGGAATCTCGTGCTTTTGGGGCTTTACACGCACGATGAGCCCCGAGTCGTTCAAGACCTCGGCATGCGTTGAAACTGGCCCGTGGAGGAGGTAAGGGAGGACTTCAGGAAACGAACACGGCCGGTTTGAGTCTGGCCCTCGAAACAAAAACCGGAACAGGAACCCGTCACCCTCAACAGCGATTAAGGTTTTGGGGACGAAGCCCGAAACCTACACTCCTAAGCCCAAACCGGAAATTCGGAGACTTCCTGCGTGACCATGCAGGAGGAAGCCAGACGTTGTCGGGGTTGTGGGTTGAAGTGTGAGGAGCTGGGGGCCGCCCTTGCTTTGGCTTTTAGGGTCTTGACGGCCCTAAGCCCGAAACCCTGAACTTCACACCCTAGCAGCCCTCACACCTACCCTTCCTCCCCGGCAACGCGGGGATTTTGGCTCTGCCCCACGTCGCGGTCGAGGCAGTAAGAACGGGATCCAAGTGGTGATACAAGCAACTGGGAGTTTCCAAAAATCGGGGACCCTGATATAGTACCTAATTAGTAGGATCCTTATTTGTAAGGGCCCCAAAATACGGTGCCCTTAATTTTCGGAAACTCCCAACTGGGAGCCTGGAGACCGGACTCGTGGTCAACCTGATCCGATCCGACCTGATCGGGGGCTATCTGATATCTAACGCCTGACTCTAACGCCGTAAACCCGAAGCCCGGTGAAAATCCAAAGACCGAAGATCGGATCCGACCCCAAAACTACGAACTGATCTTCTGGCCCCCCGTCTGAAACCTGAAACTTTCCGAACTAGAAGTTTCGAGCTGACTGCTTGTAGGAGTCGGATAATTTTTGGGGCCTTGATGACTAGAACAAGGTTTCGGGGCCCAGTATATTATACTTACTATGATAAGGAAACCCCCAAATAGTATAGGTAAGTAGTTTCATTTCAATTTCGGCACCTTTTTTTGTGGGAGGCTGCTCCAACTTCACGAGGTTTGGGGTTGTGGTTTGGATCCGCTCTGTGTCACTTCGGGGAACATCTACCGTTTTTTTTCTTTTTTTGAACCCTCTTTTCTCTCCGCCTAGGTTAGGTTGGTTGAACATCTCCCGGTTTGGGCTTCAGGATTTGGACTTAACCTTCAAAGCTCGAAAAACCCGCCAATTCTAAACCCGAAAGCCCTGAACCTTTCACCCCCCAAAGCCCTTGACCCAAATCCTGCGCCCAGGCTGGCAGCAGGTGTGCGAGGTAGCACTCGGCATGACGGGGGAAAGGAATAATCTCCTCGAGCATCGAGGAATATGCTTGGGGTGCCTCTGCTAAGCCACAATGTAAGCCGCAAACTCAAACCCTAAATCCTCATTGGACATGAACTTAAATCGATTTCAACCACGTATATCTGGAGCTTAAGTGGCCTACATCCAAACTTAGCAATCCACCAGAACCAAGTAGTCGAGATGAGGGAGAGAAAGCACAGTGATCTGAAGCACACAATAACGAAAGGAGACTGCCGCTCAAACCCTGTGTTTGAAGCTCGATGCCCCGACACTCTACACCCTACACCCTGGATCCTGACCCTTCACCCCCGCATCCAGAACACGAGCCAATAAACTGTAAACTCTAAGCACGACGCCCGCTGAGCAACCACAAGACAGACAGCTCGTGTAGTAGTCTCTGCTTCTGCCCTTCCTGAAGAATCATATTAGAGTCGCAGAAAACGCAGATAGCAGCAAGAGAAAGGAGGACCAAGTTTGGCGTACCAGTGCGACGACTCAGCTTCATGTCAGTTGTCGTGCTGCTCTTTGGGGTGAATCATTCCGGGATTTCCCGCCGGCACCCGGTATCGGAAATCGATTTCATGCCAACTTTCAGAAGACTCGCGATGCTGATGGCCCGGGATCTAGGATCCTAAACCCTACACCCTAAATTAGGCCCTAAAACCCTAAATCCTAAATCCTAAACCCTAAAACCCTAAATCCTAAACCCTAAAACCTTAAATCCTCAACCCCTAAAGCCCTAAATCCTAAACCCGGAAACCCTAAATCCGAAACCCTTCCCAGGACTTGCTGAGCGAACCTCCCCGGGACCGAACCCCGGGACCGAAATTGGAAGACTATAAAACTTGAGGACAGCACTAAGGCATCGAAATAAGCCCCTAAACTCAAACCCCCAAGCCCTAAACCCCAAACCCCTAAGCCCTAAACCCCTGAGCCCTAAAACCCCCGTAAGCTCTAAACTCTTCTGGAGAAGTCATTCTCCACCCCGAAAAGGAAATCACACCAACCCCTTCAATCTCCTCACTTGGTAAAATGCTAGGCCAGCCTTGGTAAGAAGTATCTTAAGAAACCAGTCGATTTGGAAATTGAGGGGTCCCGTCGGCAGGTGGGGTAGATGGCCCCTGCATCCCAACCCATCCTGAACCACCGATCTGATGCAGGTGCCCATTTTAGTTGAGTAGGGTCTTGGGGCTCTTGTTCCTTGCGACTCCCCCATTTTACATGCTGCACTCTAAACCTTAGGCTCTATGCTTTGAAGCCTATATCTCTGAGATCCAGGTCCATCAGTCATCACGGTTGGGAAAGATTGATTAGGGAACGGACCTCGCTGCAGCACAGCCCGCTGTTGCAGCTGCAGGGTGTGGGGCTTTGAGGTTCGTGGTTTAGAGTCATGCGGGTTAAGGAGTTGAGGGCATGATGTTTAGGGTTAGTATTCGGGGTTGAATCTGGGTCGACTGTCGGCATTCCGGTTGCTTGCTGGTGCTCTGATCCAAGCAGATTTACAGTACAAGGTTTGGGGTGTTGCGGCTCCTTGTTGGGCTGATGCTGATGTCAAAGGGTTTAGGGTTTAGAGACCCGAAGGCCTGTGCTACATGCACAGTCCACCCTCGTCGCTCACTGGTAGACAGTCCCAGGGTCTTCCGCCGCTTGCGGTGCCGGTGCTGCCTGCATACCTGGGCTGTGCTACTTTCCGTAACATGCGAGCCCCGAAAAGGGAATAACCATCAGAACAACAAGCAAAAAGCCAACTCGACCCAGGGACCCTACTGAAGCCCTGAGCCCTGAACTGCTGACCTTTCGACATACTAAGACCACGATTTCTTCACCCGAAACTCTAACCCCAAGCCCTCCCCGCCCTAGACACTGAACCAAAAACGAATCCTTGAACCCGAAACCACCTCAGGCCCGAAAAATCAACACCCAATCTTTGGGCCTTGAGAGGGCGCCCAGGGCATGT